TTTAAGGGAGTCATTTGCGATCAGTTTATCACCAGCCTCCTGTCCCTTTACAGAACTGTTATGTAATTGTCCTACATTTTTGTGTTTAGCCCTTGTTATAAAGGGATACATTTGAAGTTTACTGAGTTAGATCAAAGGGTACAACATTTATAATGAATGTAAACCACTAATTGAACCACTATTTCCTTTTGCCATAGCTCTTTGCCTTTGCTTTTGTTGTTAAGCAGGACAATGTTTTAGCTCTGTTATATCTGTAAATATAGTACAGATAAAAATGGAGTTATAAACATTTGCAAAAGCTAAAATGTTTGTTCAAACATTGAAGAGTTATTACAAAGAGAATACATGTACTTTGTAAAATGTTGCCTTTTGTTTTTGTTCATATCACAAATGTCACTATTACAGTTGTAATGTTGTAAACCTTCTGTAATCCAGTCTGTGTATTTGTACAGAAATCATTCCAGTTCCATGTTTTACAAGGGACATATAGTTGTGCTAGGAAACCCTGTGAATAGCCATGTAATGCTAGTATACTCAAAGTAAAGTACAACTAAACTATATCCAATCTCAGTTCTTATAAGTATAAGTAATCAAACATAAAGAGGGATGTTACAACAGTGAGAAATGATATTCAATGCACAAGTGTGAAGAGAGCAACATTTATAGAACAGAGCTGAGGAAAGTCCGTTTTTTTTGTATGTCGCATTGGTGCCAGAGCAATCTAATCCCAGATAATGAGTTCACTCTAATAACAGAGCACTAGGAAACACACTAACCATCCTGAATTGTCACAGTACTGAACAAGGATGCTGTACTGTTATCTTTCCACTGTATCTGCCCGCCCACCCCCCCTTCCTTATCTTCCCTCAGATTCCCTGTAGAGAGGAGGGAGGGAGAGAGGCAGCAGCTGGCAAATGTAATCAATTCCCAGCGGTGCACTGAGGGTAGCTACGTGTTCTACTGAATACATCACCCTTCCACCAAGGTCACCGCTACATTATCCACTGTAGTGTTTTAGAACTTCACCTTTTTCACTTTGTCAATCTATTGTATTTCTCTTTCTCTCCAACTGATGTCCGATGATCTCTATGGCATTAGCCATTACCCAGGTGAGCGCTACGCATTGGGGGTGGATTCGGAGAGTTTCTGCTGCATGAGATGTACAGCCCTTTGAGCAGCTAGTAAGAAACCACTGTAAATCCAATCCATTATTGTTTGAATGTTTAGGAGGTGTTTATCTCCTCCAAGGGGCACTACAACAACACCACCAACAGGTATATTGAGCTAAATGTATTTGAATAATTCAGCTTTACTTAGTGGTTATTATTAGAACATGCTCCTTGAATTTATTAGGCTTTTACAGAAAATTGCTTCTAAGAGGAAACACTGGCTCAACCTTTTACTGGTGTATGAAAATGTATGCACTCACTAACTGTAAGTCGCTCCGGATAAGAGCGTCTGCTAAATGACAAAAATTTAAAATGTGTGAGCATTTCAAAATCGTTGATGTAGGCCTAAGTGTTTTTGTCAGACTATTTATGGCAGGGGTACTCAAGTACTATTTGAGAAGGTCCGGTCACACAAATATCCTAGGTCGCAAAGGTGTCAATTTCCGGCACAGTAAGAAACCCCCACCTCGCAATTCATGCGACCCCAAACTGTTGTTTGTGAAAAGAACATTTTGCATTTTTAAAGCTAATTTCCAGAAATCGACACATCTATGTCTTTTGTTTATTTGATACCAGGGGTAAAAGCCCGACCGAGTCCCATATTGACCCCGTTCTGGGTCCGGATCCAGACCACAGTCCGCCAGTTGAGTATGGGGGATTTATGGTATATCTTATTTAGCTTACAGGATGATTCAATTATTTAAATTTATATGAGGCCGTAAAACGCTCTGAGGGCCCATTCATTGCCCTCTTTCCTACAGCCGATTTATGCTCAGATGTAGAAATATTTCACCCAATACAAATGGATGTTCTCCCTTCACAGCAGAAATGAGTGCCTCATTGAATTGTTTTCTAAACAAGCATAGTGTGTAGACTATGATCCCTCATTATCTCATAGAGCTTCCTTAACTTAATAGGAGCCTTGCTGGGGAGAGATTGTGGTAAGGGTAGTTATTGTGATAGCACGTGTCGGTCGGTCTTTGGCCAAGATTACACGTTTTGATAACTGGCTAGACTAATTTACCAATCTAAATATTGTTAGCTGACATGGCTAATTGAGTGACTGACAAAACAAGAAATAAACTGCTGATGAACAACCAAATTTCAAACTTGCACCTGGTGTACTATTCTAACTCTTAACAGTAAGTTGAGACCCCAACTGGTCGGGGCCCCATATCATGACATAACAGAATTCTCATGTCCAACAGCTGACTTGACCATTGTCCTTACTAGGGTTGGGGGCTCAATTTATTTCACTTCTTTCAATTCAGGAAGTGGATTGGAAATCAATCAGGAATTGAAAAATCATTGTTGAAAAAACAATCTCCAAAATCTGGTCATGGTCATTACACTTAGGTAGATGGCTAAGGAATACCAAAAGCAAACTAGCTTTCCTAAAATGGTTTATGTAACAGCTGTGTAGTCAGTTGTCATCAACTGCCCAATGTGTTTATAACCTGTTATGTAATTAATACGGACAGTGCTATGTCAGCCAAGACAGAAAAGTCAAGTTAAGAGTCACTATAACCATAACATACACTGAGTGTACAAAACATTAAGAACACCTTCCTTATATTGAGTTGCACTCCCCCTTTTGCCCTCAGAACAGCCTCAATTCGTCGGGGCTTGGACTCTACAAGGTATCGAAAGCATGCCACAGGGATGCTGGCCGATGTTGACGACAATGCTTCATAGAGTTGTGTCAAGTTGGCTGGATGTCCTTTCGGTGATGGACCATTCTTGATACACATGGGGAAACTGTTGAGCGTGAAAAACCCAGCACCATTGCAGTTCTTGACACAAACCTGTGCACCTGGCACCGACAACCATACCCTGTTCAAAAGGCACTTAAATATTTTGTCTTGCCCATTCACCCTCTGAACGGCACACATACACAATCTGGCCGGGATTGGCAATCCTTCAGAGAATTGAGAAATCTGTGTAAAACTTGTTCGAAAATATAATAATCAGATTTCGCTTAAAACTGTAGCTGACTGTACTGGAAATCGATATAAATTCAGGAAAACTGTGAAATCATTAAAAGGTTTTACTTCCTCTACTCTTCCCTTAAAAAGTAATGTAGTCTGGCCCTATTACTGATAACATTGATATAATTAATTAATTTAATCAACATTTTATTTCTGCAGGTTCTCTCTATGCTATAATTCAAAAACCTACTCACTGTGACAATGTACTGGATGTTAATGGGGAAATTTTACAGAATCATTTTGAAAATGTCAGTCAGGGTTTTTCTTTTCGGCAATTCACAGACAATGAAGTCCTTGATGTGTTGCTGGCATTAGACATTAAGAAATCTACAAGGGCTGACCATTTGGATCCAGGTCTGCTCAAGTGTGCAGCATCCCTCATTGTTGTCTCTATAACCGGCATCTTTAATTTAACACACTTAATTTAATATTCCTAAAATGTGGAAAATCAGTTTATGTGCTGCCACTACATAAGGGAGGTGATTGCTGTGATCTTGACAACTTAATGCTTGAACTGACGGGAAGCAGAAGCGACAACCTGCTCTATTGGCGAGGGTGTGTAGCCAATAGTCTCACCACGATTATGACCCTGAATGGAATCATATATATAACAAAGTCAAATAGTCTGAAAAAGTCACTGCTTTCTTCTAATGAGTCTTGACAAAAAGGCTGCATTCAGCAATATCCCTATAATATTATCTCAAGGATATTATCTGTATTAGGCTATATGGATAATATCTAAAGAATCAAACGTTATCTGAAACACAGAATCATGCGCTGAACTGAGGAAGGAAATGGGGTAGCTAGTGAAGGGGAAGCAAAGGATTCTGAATCCTTCGTTCTGATGCTTGATCATACCATAGCAGAGCTGAAAAGACTGACAACAATATCCTTCATTACTTGTTCCACTCAAACAAGTAGGTTGACCAAAGCTCAGCTACATAGTGAAAGGTTTTGAACTGTATGTCAATAAATGAGCAGGTTTATGTGTAGTCATTAAAACTCATTTACTTCCTCTACTCTTCCCTTCAAAAGTAATGTAGAGTCTGGCCCTATTACTGATAACGTTGATATCATTAATTAATTTAATCAACATTTATTATTCTGACATTTCACATTCTTAAAATAAAGTGGTGATCCTAACTGACCTAAGACAGGGAATTTTTACTAGGATTAAATGTCAGGAATTGTGAAAAACTGAGTTTAAATGCATTTGGCTAAGGTGTATGTAACCTTCCGACTTCAACTGTATGTGCTAACAAAAACAAGTTCCTGAAAAAAACGTCTGCATTGAAAGACAAACAACGCATGTTTGCTAAAGAAATATTTGCACACGAAAAGCTTTAATGCTTGCTAATTAATCAAATGTGCTGACAGAAGCATGCTGGAAAAATCTTGCTTGATAAAGAATCATTGCTTATGAACATGCTTACAAAACGTGTTCTTAAAGCATATTCGTGAAAACATATTTTGCTAAAGACAAGAATATGATGACTTCACGTGCCAAGTTATGATTGCTGCCACCTTACAAATGTTGGTACCGCAAGGTTTATGTATTAATCTTGAAACTTATTTTCTGGTAAGGAGAGTTGTAACCTTACACACGTACATAAAAATCAGAAATGGAAAATCAGAAGAAAAAAATAATCTGCCCATTGTTTCGGAAGCCCAATCGCTACTAGAGCACACAAAACGGGACTGTTTCATTCGCAGATCGGACTATAATTAAGAAGATGACTCGATCGCCCCAATCTGGCAATCCACGTGGCTAATTCCGAGAAGTGATTCTGCTGCCGGTACCCTGAGTCACACACTAAGAGGTTTCAAGTCTATATTGTCTTTTCTACAGCCTCTGTTCCATGGCCTTGTCCATCAACCTGCTCCACTCTCCCCCTCGCCGATTCCGTTCTTCATTCTTCAACTTGGGGGGTCTGAGAGCATTGACAGAGAGTTAAGTAGCGCGAGTCTGGCCTGTTCAGTAGCCTACATAGTCTGTGGTCAACATGCCGAAGTCAGGAGGGAGGTGGAGCCCAAAATGGGAGCTAGTTAGTCTGCCTTTACCCACCCCACCAACCCCCCAGAGAAGAGGTAGAGGAAGGTAGGGGTCGGGATATTGCCTTCCCTTCCTCACGCACTACCCACTCCATCTCTCACTGCTGCGCCTCTTCGGCCTGGGGCTGGGCCTCAGGTTGGGCCTGCTCCTGGGGAGGCCCGGCTGGGGCTGGGCCCGGGGCCGGGGGAGGAGGGGGCATGGCCTGGTGCTGTCTCTGGCGGTAGGCGATGACGGTGCCTAGCAGCAGGGCGATGACCGTCATGAGGTAGAGGTCCCACTCGGGGCCCAGGAGCTGGTCCAGGTCCACCTGACTGACCACCTCACTCATCTGGTGGAGGGGGGAGGGAGGGAGATTATACAGGGAGGGGGGAGGGAGAAAGAGAGAGAGCATTGATTACATTAAACAAACATAATACAATCCCATGAATCCTGTACAAACATAATAAACTACAACTAGCCTAAGTTTGCCTCTAATATTGAGCCTGGCCCCCATGAGTTGAACTGGAAACGATTGGGGAAATTGAATCTCCCAGAGGCACCGGGTCCAAGAATCGCTCTGTACTGTACACTCACGTTGAGGTCGTGCAGGTATTGCAGGGTGTAGACCAGGCCCAGTTTCCACAGAGCCAGGAAGACTGGCACCTGGGCTTCGGGACTAGCCTCGGCAGCCATGTCGTAGAAACGCTTGGCCAGGTGGATGTCCTACAGGAAGGGGAAAGAGTAAGGGGTTAGACGTATAGGGTTGCGTGTGTGTGTATGATTGAGTGTGTGTTAGTGTGCCCACCTGTTTGATGCCAAGGCCTTTCTCGTGCATGTAGCCCAGGTTGAACATGGCCTGAGCGCTGTGCTGCTGCTCCGAGGCCATCCTATAGTGTATGACAGCTGTCTCGTAGTCCACGTCAGTACCGTAACCGTAGAAGTGGTAGTCCCCCAGCTTTATCCTAGCCACTGTATAACCTGGGTGACAAAGTTGAACATACAGTACACCCAAGTCAGTACTGTAACCGTATACACACCGTAGTACCGTAACCGTAGAAGTGGTAGTCCCCCAGCTTTATCCTAGCCACTGAATAAACTGGGCCCAGTTTTTCAAACCAAATGTCATGGGCTCATATACCATGATCTTTGTTATAGCATACAATAGGATATGTTAGAGATTTGCTTCCATGTTGTCTTAAAACTGCATCTAAAAATGAGGGACCACATCTGAAGGGGAAGCAGAATTTAACAACTCAGGATCATTTTGATCTGGATTTAAAATGTTTTGAAAAACTTGGCCCAGTTGAAGATACAGTAAACACGTCAGTCCCGAAACCATAGAAGTGGGAGTGGCCCATCTTCATCCTAGCCCCTGTATAACCAGAGTAACACAGTTGAACATACAGTACACATGTCAGTACCATAACCATACATTTGAATCCCCCAGCTTTATCCAACTATCCTCACCTACAATTACTGAAGGGTACAAACACAAGATGGCTGCTCAGTACAGCAAAAATATGGAAGGGTGATTTATGAAGGAGGCTAGACCAACCCTGTGCTGCTGCTCTGGTCCAATGGAGGAGGGCTCGAGGGTATGTCTCGTTCTCACTGAAGATCTGCGCCTCCTCTACTTAAAACGAAACACAAGATTCAGAATAATATTTGTTATTCTCAAATACAAAATGGTACCAACTGGTTTAAAATCATCATGACACGTGCTTATTAAATGCATTCAAAAAGGCAATTTCTGTAAAAACATATCAGAAGGGCTGCACAAAGAAATGTATTGTTTTGGCACGGTGTAGCAATTTCTCATTATCTAAACAACCACAGGGGATTCATTGCCTTCCAGTGATTTCTTATTTCTCCAATATCACAATTTTTCAAATAACCAGAGGTTAGTGTTCTGAACACATTACATCAGATGGCAGGCCACAGACAATGTCCAGGCCATATGCTTGGTTCACTTGATATAGGGTCACAGTGCTCTCTGGTGACGGAGGTGCGTGGAAGCAGTGGTGTCTTACCAATGTACATAGAGCCAAATTCAGTTTCAGCCCTTTTCTCCCTAAAAAGTGTGCAGTAGTTCACTCCCCCTCATTAATTTAAAAGGAATGAACTTGTGGAAGGCACATGGCTCCCTCTTGCCCATGCTTAACGCAATCCAAATGCTTTTGAAGCTTTGCGGGGGAGTGAACAAGTGCACACTTCAGGGAGAAGGGGGAGAAACAGAATTGGGCTGAGGAGGTTCTAAGATGGTTGCCGTTAAACAGTACAGAACTCTTCAAAACAGTTCCCCTTTCAGCTATCTAGGGTATTTTCATGATAAATACTGTGTATTTGTTCTTACTCTGGTCCAGGATGTAGGCCACGTTGCTCTGCGCCACCTCGTAGCCCTGCTCGGCCAGCATCAGGTACTGCACCAGCGCCCCGTCCATGTCGCCGTCCTTGAAGCTGCCGTAGGCTGCCATCAGCCTCTCCGACCAGCGCCCACGCTCACACACATTCTTGAAGAGCTGCTCGCAGACACGCATATGAAGACATGCAGTTAGACACACAGAGAGACAAGAACAAAAAGGGGCTGTTAAGGCAATTCAAGGTGGAAATCGCCCCTAATCACAGATCTAGGATCAGATTACACAACGCCTGATTTGAACTTTAACTATAGGGAGGATAAAATTGTATCTGACCCTGGTTGTGGATCAATGGCTAAGGAATGGGTGAGTAGGTTTTGGCTAACCAATGACTGACACTGAGTAGCAAATGGCTAAATAATTAGCTAATGGATGGCTGAATGACAGCTAATGGAGGGCAATTAGGTGGCCAATAAATTGCTAAACAGGTGGCTAATTGGTTCATGCCTACCTAGAAGACTGCTAACTGGTGATTCAGGCATTGATCTAATGGCTGAAGGTTAATCTCAGGCTAACAGATGTCTTATTTAAGCAATAAGGCCCGAGGGGGTATTTGGCAACGCGGAGTGCCTGGATACAGCCCTTAGCCGTGGTATGTTGGCCATATACCACTAAGCCCAGAGGTGCCTTATTGCGATTAGAAACTGGTTACCAACGTAATTAGAGCAGTTAAAATAAATGTTGTCATACCTGTGGTATATGGTCTGATATACCACAGCTATCAGCATTCAGGGCTCGAACCACCCAGTTTATAATGATGATTAATGCACAGCTAACGGAAAGCTAATTGCTGGCTAATAAACTGTGAAACGCTAGGTAATGGCTAGCTCCCAGGTGGCTAGAGTAGTAGTGGTGCTTGATACTTAAAGGCTAATGAACTGTGAAGCACTGGGCCTCTGAACTAGCTAGCTAATGGCTAATCCTTTAGCTATCCAATTATAAAGCGCTATCTAATGGCTAATTAATGGCTAATGCTGTAGCTAGCCAATTATGTACAGCAGTTAGCTAATGGATAGCTAGCTTACCTCCACGGCGGTGTGGCATGAACGCAACACGCCGGTGCCCGTGGCGTGCATCTGGGCCAGGTTATAAAATGCCAGAATGTGGCCTGCCTGCGAGGCCAGGTTGAAGAACTTGAAGGCCTGCTTGTAGTCACGCTTCACCCCGATGCCATCTGGGGAGGAAGAGGAGGAATGGAGAGACAAAAGTGAGTGAGATCCCCAACAAAGAAAAGTGGTGTGCAAGAGAAGAAATAGTGTGTTGTCTTATGGCTGCTGAGCAGGGGCGTTTCTAGGATTTTTTAATGGGGTGACCAAAACCAGTCATGGGTGGCCATGAGAAAATCAGCACATTTTTACACAAATAGCGTTAAATTGGTTTAAACTATGATTTATTGTAATGAATAGTCTAGGGGCCTACTTTGTTTCATGTTTAACAAAAGCCTGCCCACCAAGTTTAAGCTCACAAATCAAATACAGGGCAAAATAAAACACGCCAAATGGGGGTATCTACCGGTTAAAAAGTGAAGACTTTTAGCTGTCTAATGTTAACTGTATGTCTCAACTCTCATTATAAAGGGAAACTGGAGCAAACGGTGAACAGTGATATTGACGAGAAAGACGCGAGTCGCGGCTCAAATGGCAGTCTTTCTTTAAGCAAATAACCTCGCATCTCAAGTAGGCCATTGACAATGGCTGCATATCAACAGCAATCATTTCTGGAATCAGCAGTGTTCTTTTTTTTTTTTTACTGTTAACGATGATGTGCAGAGCACTTTACATTCGTAGAAAATAATTTGAAAGGTGCATATCCCCTCTTACTAACGTTACAGCATTGTTGTGTTAGGTAGGCCTATTTGTTAAATGTTTTCCCTTTATGATGATCAGGACCTGTTAGTGGTAGTTTTGTGATAACTGCACTGTGATTTACATTTTGTGGAGAAAAAAAAGAAATGTTTCAGTTAGGGATTTTTTCTGACCCAGATTGACAGCGCTCTCACCCATTTAGAATGGGGTGGCACTAAGGGTGGCCAATCATTTCAGGAGTGGCCATTGCCACCCCTCTGATAACGCACCTGCTGCGGAGAGTGCAGATTTGGGAGCAGAATGTTGGTGGACAACTAACATTGCACTTTCCAGGAAACCAAAATGGGCAAGGCTGTTTTACACTATACAACAACAGAAAAAAGGGGTGGTCTATACACACACACACTCCCACATGCACACACTCACTGTAGTACATGGTGCCCAGCTGAAGCTGTCCGTCCACCCAGCCCTGCTCCGCTGCTTTCTGGAAGTATTTCAGTGCCAACTCGTAATTCTGGAGGACACAATTGTGTAAATCACACAGAAAATACCAACATGCAGTGCGTTCGAAAAGTATTCAGACCCATTCACTTTTTCCACATTTTGTTACATTACAGCCATGTTCTAAAATGGATTAAATCGTCCCCCCCCCCCATCAATATACACACACACACACACACAATAACCCATAATGACAAAGCAAAAAATAAAAAAAATCACGTGACACTTGGCATTCAGGCCAAAGAGTTCAATCTTGGTTTCATCAGACCAGAGAATCTTGTTTCTCATGGTCTGAGAGTCCTTTAGGTGCCTTTAGGCAAATGCCAAGCGGGCTGTCATGTGCCTTTTACTGAGGAGTGGCATCTGTCTGGCCACTCTAAAGGCCTGATTGGTGGAGTGCTGCAGAGATGGTTGTCCTTCTGGAAGGTTCGCCCATCTCCACAGAGGAACTCTGGAGCTCTGTCAGAGTGAACATTGGGTTCTTGGTCACCTCCCTGACCAAGGCCCTTCTCCTCCGATTGCTCAGTTTGGCTCGGCGGCCAGCTCTAGAAAGAGTCTAGGTGGTTCCAAACTTCTTCCATTTAAGAATGATGGAGGCCAGTGTGTTCTTCTGGACCTTCAATGCTGCAGAAATCCTGTATCGGAGCTCTACGGCAATTCCGTCGACCTCATGGCTTGGTTTTTGCTCTTACATGCACTGTCAACCGTGGGACCTTATTGTGACCGACCGGCTCGATTCGGTCATGTAGCACAATTTGAAATGGTGTTTTTTACATTGGATAAAAGTAGAGACTCAGAGCTAGAAAATGGTTATATCATACACTACAGTTGAGGAACAATGGGAAAGTAATTCCACTTTGAAAGTTGATAAACTTTTGGTAAACCTACTGGAGAGCCCTTCTTTGTCTACACCCATTGAGCATCGTTCACACCCTCTTAAGCCTTAGCCCCACCCATCTCTAAGGATTCACGTGAGGCCATGTACTAAACAACCAAATATTTCAAGACTAAAGGCTGGTTTATTCTATGGGTGTATTCGTAAATTCAAATCTGGCGTGCCAGAGTGTGCCCTGGGCCATCGTAAACTCAGAGCGTTGTCAGATTGTCCGTTCGTAAATTCAGAGCGTTACGCTCTCAGAGCATTCAGAGCGCACACTGGACGCTCTGGCTGAGGAATAGGGTTGAGCAGAGCGTTCTGACCTAACAGCAGCAGTTAAGCTCCCAAGCTAACTGGCTAACGTTGGCTAGATTGCTAGCTACTTCCAGACACATGAGAGAACAGCTCCCTGATCACCCTAGCAGAGCTGGTTAGGCTGTTTTTATGGTATCCAGAGCATTGGTGACTGTAACTGTGCTGCTGGCAACAACTTAAATACGCTTTTTTGCCAACATTTACTGACACCGGCCACATTCAACGGGTGTTGAGCGTTCGTAAATTAGTCAGTTATACTGCGCTCTGGCACACTCAGACGAGAGTGCTCTGAAATTAGAGTAGATAGCCAGAGCGAATTTACCAGCTACGTCTATCGACAGTTGTCGCAGTGACATCATGAACATTGTATTGAAATGGTTACTTGCATAGTGGAGTCTTTTGTTTAGACATGTAGCTAGCTAGCTAGCTAGCTAAACAATGAACCATAATCCCAACTCATAACGTTACTACCATACATGAATCTGCAGGAAGCTAACCAACCAGGTTCAATGTTAGCTAGCTAACATTAGGCTATAACTAGCAATGCAAATGGCTCTGAGATACAAATAATATTACTACACAGATCATACGCGTAACGTTAGCTAGCGATTCAGCCAGTTAACGTTAGCTACCTAACAGTACGCTTTAACTTGAAATGAAAATGACTGACAAAATTAGGAAAGTGTAATATCTGAAAATGTAGCTAGCTAGACTATCTTACCCGCATACATGGATGGACACTTCTCCCTCTGTCACGGATGCCATGGTTGCCCAAGATGTAATCCGGAGACAGGTGTTTTATACAGCCTTCTGTGTGTTCTCTTTGACTCCCTCTGCATATTAGCAATCAAAGGCCAGAATTTTCTCCATCACCTTAGCTATCATACTCTAATTCCACAAGGCCTTCCACTGATTTCAAAACTCGGTCCTCCAGAAAGTGTAGAGCAACACTTATATATTTTACTTTAAAATACGCATTAGAAAGGATTACCTACAAATACTGAGCAGCTCATGTTATAGACAGAAGCAGGCTACATGGCAGACCAATCCGAACATCTCTCGGCATGTCCAGCCCATCCATTATCTCAGCCAATCATGGCTAGCGGGAAGGTTCCTGTCTTTTTCATTAGCTAAACCAACTCTCGTAATTTAACAATTGTATTCGTATTTACAGATGGCATACAAGTTTGTTATTAAGGCACATGAAAGTTCACATATTCCAGAAGGCATTTCTGCCAAAAAACACATTTTGATAAAATAAAAGTATACGTTCAAATGGTAGTAGTGACGCGCGACATATGCCTAGTTTCCTGAAACGAGTCACATATAGACTGTGTTCCTTTCCAAATCATGTCCAATCAATTGAATTTACCACAGGGGGAAACAGGACGCACCTGAGCTAAATTTCGAGTCTCATAGCAAAGGGTCTGAATACTTATGTAAATAAGGTATTTGTTTTTTTATAAATTTGCAAACATTTCTAAAAGCCTGTTTTCGCTTTGTCATTATGGGGTATTGTGTGTAGATTGATAAGGGGAAAAAATACATTTATTTCATGTTAGAATAAGGCTTTAAGGTGACAAAATGTGGAAAAAGTGAAGGGGTCTGAATACTTTCCGAATGAACTGTAAACCTACAGTACACAGCTGCTGGATTCTATTGCCTATGCCAATGTCTACAGAAGCTCACTTTAGGAATGTAGCTACCGTGTAAAGCAGGGATTATGAAAATGGCAGCGCAATCAATTTCATCCAAAAAACTAACAAAAAAATGAAGTCGGGGTCTAAACTGACTGTTGAGAGTTAGAATAGTAAAATACAAAAGGTGCAAATTTGGTTGTGCATCAGCAGTTTCTCTTGTTATGTCAGTCAGTAGGCAGGTTTCCATTGACCCAGGTTTATTTCTCGACAAAAGCAATGTCGCAAAAATAATAATTGCGAAATGTATGAAAACAGCAGATATGAGACATTTTGTAAAGATCAAACATTTTATTTGTTCGGCAAGGCTGGATTTTTATTTTGTCAAACTTGCGAAAAATGATGGAAACTGGGTTTTTTAAATAATTGCTGAATACTTTTGAAGGTACGCAGGGCACGTGATCTCATCATGTAACTACAAGCTCCACGCCACATTTAATTCTAAATGCCTACCGCTTACAAAAATAAATTGTAACTATAAAGATAATATTTCTTTGCAGGACAAGGATTGTCAGAACTTTCAAGAATGCCCGAATTGCTTCGCCTTGCTTTTCTGGTTGGCTGGCAAGTGTCACCATCCAAATATTTCAGATCCACAGGAGTGCAAGTTCATGGCACCGTGGTGACATGTTTGAACATGATAATTATTAGAATATGGCAAATATTAGTCAATTATTGCATTCTATCCATGCTGGCTTTCGCGGGTTACCTGAGATGAAAAAGATCGGTGGGAGGGCACACAGGCAGTCGCCAATTTATTAACACGCAATTTGACTAAATGTTTAATGTAAACACTTCAACTACTACATTTTAATTCGACACTGTAGGTTGCGATTTATTTATTTATGTATTTTTTTTTGGTGTGACATCATTACGTCCAGTTGTTTTTATCGACACGCTAGTTAAATGGAAACGAACCCTAGCAGGCAATTCTCTATGCAAGCGTTCAAAATGTCGACCCCAAAAAATGTATCACTGGACAAGTTAATGGAAACATCGCTACTGACAGCTAACATGTTTTAGATTGGTAAGTTAGTCTAGCGGCCAGCTATCTAAACTTGAAGTAATCATAGTCAAATTACCAACCGGGGGCTGCGATTGATTTTGTTAGTCACTCTCACGCAGATATCATATTAAAAACTGCAAACATTTGTTTCCACCCTATGGCAATTTTTGGAATTGCAGGAAATTTGCCCTAAAACTGCTCATTTTAATCTCCGCCCCATGGCAACATTTTTAGAATTGCAGAGGGGGAGGGGTCACTCACCACTGGCACGCCTCTCCCGTACAGGTACGCCATGCCCAGTCCCACTCTGCCCGACAGGGTTACCCTAGGGGACAAGAACAGCGAGTAAGGACATCAAAAAGAGACAGAAACCACCCAAGACACAACGATAAGTATTGAAGATAATAGTGCACTCTTGAAAGAACCACATCTATACCGGTTAATTTGACTATAATAAAACAGATTGATCCTGAAATACCATCTGCATTGAAAAGCAATGTATAGGAATGTTTCTGTCCAACAGTTTGACAACTATAAGCAGTGGATTCTTATATTGGTAATTCTTACATTCTGTACAGGCACTGTGGGCTATGTGCAAGATATCCATAGGAGTGAATCGTTTGATAATAGTAAAGAGGAACCAAACAGAGCTATATAGATATCATTATGGATGTATAACAATCCATGGTTGGACCACAGAAATAGAATGTCCATTCTAGTCATTCTATTCTAATGTTTGGTTACTCACCAGGTCAGAGGCCTTCTTGAAGTACTGCAGGGCCGTCTCATTGTTCTGAGACAAGTACTCACTGCCCTCTGAGTACATCTGAAAGATAGTGAGAGAGCGAGAGGTAGAGAGAAAAAAAAGAGTGAAGAGAATAAATGAGGAGTAAGAGAAACCACTGAACGACGGTAGCACAGCCACAGAGTAAGGGTAGCATTACTTGCTTATTTCTACACAGTGCTACAGGCCTATAAGATCATGTAATAATCTTACCTTCCCAAGAAAGGCCATGGCGTGCGTGTTCCCAGCATTCGCGGCCTGGTTGAAGTAATCGTAGGCCCGCTGTCGACAAAAACACATTTCATTTGTGACCATCTCCACACCAACTTCACACTAAATACAGGAGTGAGCGTGACAGAGCTACATATGTAGGATCTTAATTTGAGCCAGTTTGCTACAGCAGGAAAATAATCCTGCAGCAACAGGAAATGTTGAATTATTATGTGGATTATAACTATGTTTTTAGGGGTTGATAAAATGTTTTGTAAGGGAAAATCAAGTCAGAAATGTCTAACTTCAGAAGCCTTTTTAAACCTCAAATACACTACAAGTTTTACATTTCCTGCATTGCAGGAAAGTTCTCCTGCAACAGGGTGATAAAATTAAGATCTTACAATTGCAGTGTTTGAAAAAGGTTGAAAATGGGTTAGGGGAAGGTTACCTGGTGGTTCTGCTCCACCCCCCGACCACCGTGCAGATGCAGCTGGCCCAGTCCCACCTGTTGGGAGCAAAGCATGGGGTCATGGCACGAAACACCACGTCAGAGTCCCAAATGGCACCCTATTCCCTATATAGTGCACCACTTTTGACCAGGGCCCACCTTTTCAATCATTACCCGCTTCCTCATTATCATGCTATATTCATGCAAGCACCAGAGAAACTTGAAAATGGGACAATTCGATTCTTTCCATTATCTCCCATGAGGAAGGGTATAATAATGCCTTGCTGCCAGAAATACTATTTTTGTATATATAATATTTGTATAAATAATATTTCTGGAATTTTCCTTTCTCCCTGACTGTCTTGCTCACGTGTCAAACAAAGCCCGCGGGCCGGATCTGGCCCGTGACATTTCTATCCAACCCGTGCAATGATTTGGGTTGTCAATTCATTTTTGGCCTACTTCCATACAGCCCCCGACACACAGCACTACAAGTCCCAGCAAGCACTGCCAACATGCTGCCCACCAAATGGAAGTGCATTGCCACACACCCCTCCTCCCAGACCCACCTACCCACGAGCCAGCCAGTACGCTCTCATATTGTACGTTTATAAGTGGACATTATGAAGAGGCATTTAATAAAAATGTTTTAACAATGTCCAGTGTGGGTGGACATTTGTATGCACATTATATATATATATATTTTTTTATATAGGCTATGTCTGGCCCACAAATGTATGTTTTTTTCAAAATTGCCATTGCGGCGATTGAGGTCGTCACCCCTGGTCTAGCTTTTATATTATATTGTTAGTTCTTAAATATAACAATATATAAAAAAAAAAAAAATCTACATTCTTTCTATTTAGTTTTAGTCATTCAAGTTGACACAGAATGCCTTTTCTATCGCAAAGAATCCCATAGAATTTCCTATGCAGAAAAGAACCCTGTAAGAGCAGTGTGCCCCATCTTAACCATAACCTGGGCCTGGATATCTCCCTTCTCAGCCAGGAACTGATAATACTGGATCAGGTCTTCCTCCAGCATTCCGCTGGTAGAGCCCGGGTTTTCCACCTCATCCAGCAGACGCACCCTCTGCACCGCACTGCCCCCCGTCAGGGACACGTCACTGGCCACTGGAGGTTAAGGAGAGTGAAAGAAAGAATGAAAAAGAAGAACAACTCACTGCTCTTTGCATGCAGCCTAAGGAAAGCCTCAGGACTAAAATCTTGCTGCCGTAAATTTGCTCTGTGAATCAAAAAGTCACTTTTTGAATGCAGCCTTTCCTTTTGTTTAGTCAGTTTGTGGCACCTACAATTTAGGGCTTTTCAAATGCAGGTCTTCTCAATTCTACACACTAACCAAGTTTCCATCCAACCTTTTTATGCGAGTAAAATACGTGTCGGATAAAACATTTCACGACAGGCCTGATCGAAACAGCAGATTTGTCTGTAAACTATCCAAATGTTGACAAAACAAAATACTTTAGACAAGGTGTGATATTTTTGTGTCTTTAAAATGATTTATGCTAAGTAAACTTGGAGTCACGCGATGATATGTTGTGTGGTCTTCCTACTACGACTGGGGAAAGCATGTAGTTTATTACAGATTAAATAAGTAATGAGAACGTCACAGGGTGGTGAAAGTGCATGGTAATGAGCTTGATGCGCCAAGACAATAAATAGAGGTTATTATTCTGGTGACATGATGATCAATGCTTGGCTGCAGTTTGACAAATAAAAATAATTGTGCTATTCTTTCCATAATAATCTCATCATGTAGGCTTTACCCGCACTGTTTCTATGAGCTATTGGCTAGAGCGCACGTGCCAAGACCATAGTGGGCACATTCACTAAATCACGCAACATCTTTGGTGACAAAACCATCAGTAGAGTTGAAATTGCGATGGAAACCCATTTAACTTTTCTTCTTATTCTGTACATGGCAATTTAACCGCAATAAGTATTTTTTTGTGCACTACATTTTATCCGCAACAAGTCAATATGATGAAAACAAATTGTTTTTATGCAGAATTTAGAATATTCGCATGAAAATCTGTCGCCTATTGTATAGAAACCTAGCTACTGAGAAACTCAACTGAAACAGTGAAAGACATTCATTGGTTGAGAGGGGGTGGCCTCCTACCGTGATTGGCCACCAGTCTGTAGTGCGTCAGTGCTGATTCGCAGCTCTGGGGTACGCCCACACCACCCCAGTATCGGTATCCCTAAAGAGAGAATGGTAGCAACGAAGGGAAAGGTAATTAAATAATTATTCAGTATATCCATAAGGAAGAACAAGACACATAAGGCTTCTCTATTCAAAACTACAAAACAGCAGAAGTAGCTCACCAGAATCATATGAGCCACCAGGTTTCCGCCCAAAGCCCCAAAGGTGTAGTAAACCAACGCCTGAAACAGAGTTGAGGGTTATGCTTTACATTCCAGGCTTAGCAGGTAATTTCAATATCATCTTGGAAATAGAGCTGGGTTGATAAACCAAAGATAATCAACACCGACCAAACCGACAACTTATCGTGGACATTTTGCTGATATTGTTCATTACGATAAATAACCTATAGGGCCCTACTAGAGTAATGGAAGTTTGAAATGAAGTAAGTTTGTTAATATCAGTGATTGTTAAATGGGACAATTGATAGCTACAACATTTAAAGTAGTAATAATAGTTAAGGGTAATATAAAAATAAAAACGTTATAAACTCATGGTTCTACTTATCATTATAATTCAGTCAATTTATCTTAAAATAGATTTTTGTCCATATCGCTCCGCTCTACTACAAAAGCTACCTCTGAACAAATAGAGCTTTTGATCAGTATATAGGCTACATGGAAAGAGGAGAGCGGTTTGGAGGGAGAAAGTGGAAAGGCTGGGTGTTGGTACCTTTGCTTGACTGGAGTTCACTCCTAACCCGGCAGCGTACAAGAAACCAAGTGCCTACAGGAAATAGGGTGGAGCGTTAGGCTACCTACAACCACAGAGACGCATGAACACGGATTCAATCATATACAGTGAGGGGAAAAAAGTATTTGATCCCCTGCTGATTTTGTATGTTTGCCCACTGACAAAGAAATGATCAGTCTATAATTTTTATGGTAGGTTTATTTGAACCGTGAGAGACAGAATAACAACAAAAAAATCCAGAAAAACGCATGTCAAAAATGTTATAAATGGATTTGCATTTTAATGAGGGAAATAAATCTTGGACAAAGCCTGGAGACAACCTGAAACCCCATTGTCTCAAAGAACACGTTTACATGCAGACCAATATCCTCTTATTATTCGGGATACTCAAGTATTCGGTTTTTGAGTTGAGACAATCATATCCCGTTTACAATAACACAAAAAATATTGTATCCCGGTTATGAGAAACCCGGATAAGATGCCTGGGATATGCTGATTTTAGACGGGATACTGTGGCATGTAAACAGCTTCTCATTTACTGTTGTTTTTTGCAGTCTACGCAAGCTCAGTTTCGCATATCATGTGTGTTGTTTGAAGAGGTTGTCATCTGATTGTCAAACAAATCACTTCAAAAAAGTAGGCTACCTGCGCAGTTCGAGCCACCATAATTCCATAATTTATTTTGCTGATACTCCATACTGGACCGTATAGTCTACTGGCTACTTTCACCCCTAATTTAGACCATTTTCTGCTTATGATTTCTGACATTTGGTAGGGCATATTATAATTTCTGACATTAGGTAAGGCCATTTGTTTGTCAACTATAGTTAGATACATGCAGCTTCTCTTCTGTCATAACTTGTTGCCCTAGAAGACTAAATCAAGTAGTGCTCACCAGAATGCCTTACATTGATAGAATTAATGCATTAGTAATCTATTTAACACAGCTAAATTTGCCTTTTTCTTTTAGGGACCAGGGAGAAAACTCAATAACTCCAAAACAATGGAAAGATTGGTCCTGTGCAAAATGTCATCACTTTGACCAGTTAAGGAAATATCAGAAACTCTTAAAGACTTCAGTTCATCTTAGGCGCAAATACTGTCTGCTTGCATAACAGTGTCAAAGATAACACATTACACAGGTATTTGCATTTTCTCAAGAGATGCTGAAAGAAAAAATAAAAATATTTCTCCACTCCTGTTCCCGGGACAAAATAAAAATGTATTGTATCATTTTACTGCAAGATATGCATCATTCTGCAGGAGTTAATATTATATAACACTACATGTGAGATGTTATAGGCCTACAGTCAGTGTCCATATTTCAGTTACTATTCCATTTAACCCATATTAACTTAAATTAGGAATATTCTGTTTATTAATGGATACAGGGATACTTGTGAGCTGGATATCAAAAGGTGCATGTAAACAGCTTATCCCAAATAAGACAATAAGCGGGATGAGCTACAACCCGGAATATAGTGCACATGTAAATGTGGTCAATGACACTACCCTGGACCCATTAAGTTTAAATAGGAATGTTCCATTACCGTCTGAGCTTTGGGGGAGCCCTCCAGGGCCAGCTTCTCAAACAGCTCCTTGGCCTTGGGGATGTTCTGGGCCATGTAGTCCCCAAACAGCATGGCGTAGGCCACCTTCTCCATGGCCTTGTGGTGGCCCTTGTCGGCAACCTTCAATAGCTTCTCATACAACCTGATGAGGAATAAGATGAAGAAGAATAGGTGGAAGGTTGAATAAGTAAAAGGTGTTGTGCCTTCAGAAAGTGTTCATACCCCTTGACCTTTTCCACATTTTGTTGTTACAAATTGGGATTAAAGTGGATTTGTGTTTTTTTATTATGATCTACACAAAAAAATGAAAATGTCAAAGTGGAAGAAATGTTTAACATTTTAAGATTAATAAAAAAAACACTAATACAGTATATTGATTAAATAAGTATTCAACTCCCTGAGTCAATACATGTTAGAATCCCCTTTGGCAGTGATTACAGCTGTGAGTATTTTTGGGTAATTATTTTATTTAAAAACTCTTCAAGCTCTGTCAAGTTGGTTGATCATCGCTAGACAGCCATTTTCAGGTCTTGACATAGATTTTCAAGCTGATTTAAGTCAAAACATTAACTAGGCCACTCCGGAACATTGAATGTCTTGGTAAGCAACTCTAGTGTATATTTGGATTTGTGTTTTTGTCCTGCTGAAAGGTGAATTTGTCTCCCAGTGTCTGTTGTAAAGCAGACTGAACCAGGTTTTCCCCTCTAGGATTTTGCCTGTGCTTATTCCTTTTCATCCCAAAAAACTCCCTAGTCCTTGCCGATGACAAGAATACCCATAACATGATGCAGCCACCACCATGCTTGAAAATATGAAGAGTGGTAGTCAGTGATGTGTTGCGTTGGATTTGCCCCAAACATAATGCTTTGTATTCAGGACATAAAGTTGATGTCTTTGCCACATTTTTTGCAGTTTTACTTCAATGCCTTATTGCAAACAGGATGCATGTTTTGGAATATTTGTATTATGTACAAGCTTTGTTCTTTTCACTCGTCATTTAGGTTAGTATTGTGGAGTAACTACAATGTTGTTGATCCAACCGCAGTTTTCTCCTATCACAGCCATTAAACTCTGTAACTGTTTTAAAGTCACCATTGGCCTCATGGTGAAATCCCTGAGCGTTTTCCTTCCTCTCCGGCAACTGAGTTAGAAAAACGCCTGTATCTATGTAGTGACTGGGTGCATTGATACACCATCCAAAGTGTCATTCAAAACTTCACCATGCTCAAAAGGGATATTTAATATTTGCGAGGCATTGGAAAACCTCCCTGGTCTTTGAGGTTGAATCTGTGTTTGAAATTCACTGCTCGACTGAGGGACTTACAGATAATTGTATGTGTGGAGTACAGAGATAAGGTAGTCATTCAAAAATAATGTTAAACACTATTATTGGACAGAGTGAGTCCATGCAACTTATGTGACTTGTTAAGCACATTTTTCCTCCTGAACTTATTACACTGAACAAAAATAAAACACAACTTCAAAGATTTTGCTGAGTTACAGTTTATGTAAGGAAATCAGTCAATTGAAATAAATGCATTAGGTCCAAATCTATGGATTTCAAATGACTGGGGATACAGATATGCATCAGGGTTTTTTTTTAAGGTAAGGGGCGTGGATCAGAAAACCATCTGGTGTGACCACCATTTGCCTCATACAGCGTGACAAATCTCCTTCGCAAAGAGTTGATCAGGCTGTTGATTGTGGCCTGTGGAATGTCGTTCCACTCCTCTTCAATGGCTGTGCGAAGTTGCTGGATATTTGTGAACTGGAACACGCTGTCGAACACGTCGATCTAGAGCATCCCAAATATGCTCAATGGGTGACATGTCTGGTGAGTATGCAGGCCATGGAAGAAATGGGACGTTTTCAGCTTCCAGGAATTGTGTACAGATCCTTGCGACATGGGGCCATGCATTATAATGCTGAAACATGAGGTGATGGCAGCGGATGAATGGCACAACAATGGGTCTCAGGATCTCGTCACGATATCTCTGTGCATTCAAATTCCCATCGATAAAATGCAATTGTGTTAGTTGTCCATAGATTATGCCAGCCTATACCATAACCCCTCCATGGGGCACTCTGATCACATCAGCAAACCCCTCGCCCACACGACACCATACCATCTGACCGGTACAGTTGAAATCGGGATTAATCCGTGAAGAGCACACTTCTCCAGCTTGCCAGTGGCCATTGAAGGTGACGTCGGTTACTACACCAAAGTGCAGTCAGGTCAAGACCCTGGGAAGGACAACGAGCGTGCAGATGAGCTTCTCCGAGACAGTTTCTGACAATTTGCGCAGAAATGATTTGGTTATGCAAACCCACAGTTTCATCAGCTGTCCGGGTGCTGGTCTCAGACGATCCTGCAGGTGAAGAAGCCGGATGTGGAGGTCCTGGGCTAGCGTGGTTACACGTGGCCTGCGGTTGTGAGGCCGGTTGGATGCACTGCCAAATTCTCTAAAACGACGTTGGAGGCAGCTTATGGTAGAGAAATTAACATTAAATTCTCTGGCAACAGCGCTGGTGGACATTCCTGCAGTCAGCATGTCAATTGCAAGCTCCCTCAAAACTTGAGACACAAAACTGCACATTTTAGAGTGGCCTTTTATTGTTCCCAGCACATGCTGTTTAATCAGTTTCTTGATATGCCACACCTGTCAGGTGGATAGATTATCTTGGCAAAGGAAAAATGCTCACTAACAGGGATGTAAACAAATGTGCGCACAAAAGTTTAGAGAAATAAGCTTTTTGTGCATATGAAACATTTCGGGGATCTTTTATTTCAGCTCATGAAACAAGGGACCAACACTTTACATGGTGAGTTTATATCTGTGATCAATATATTTAGGCTTGTCATAACAAATGGGTTGAATACTTACTGACAAGACATTTCAGCTTTTCATTTTTAATTATTTGTAAAAATGTCTAAAAACATAATCCCACTTTAACATTATGGGGGTACTGTGTGTAGCTGGCCAGTGACACAAAATGTCAATTGAATCCATTTTAAATTCAGGCTGTAATACAACAAAATGCGGAAAAAGTCAAGGGGTGTGAATACTTTCTGAAGGCACTAACCTGCTAAGAAAAAGTCGTAGCTGTATCGAAGTGGCGTGTTTTTAGGGAATCTCTTAAGCAAGAGGAAGAAAGATAATAATAAGACTGTGGGATTTCTAGAGTGTTCTTGCTATCAGCAAGCACACTAATAATAATAATAATAATGAGTAAGTGGGTTGTCTAAAGTGTGCTTGTCTAGAGTGTTCTTGCTGTCAGCAAGCACACTTATGAACACTGTAGATGAGACAATGAGGAGGAGAAAGAGAGCTCACTCTTTCTTCTGGCTCTTCCGGTTGGTTCCGTTGATCATGCGGAGGGCTGTCTGGTACTCCTTTTCGGTCTCCTCCGCAAGATGCCTCTGCTCCACCTGCTCCTCCGCTACAATATACAATACAACTAGGGTTGCAAAGGGAGGGTATATTTCTGGTAACTTTCACAGTTTACCAGTAAACTACCAGAATTTTGTTTAACTTTCAAGGTTTTGGGGGGAATTTTATCAAATGACATCTAGTGGCCTTTTTGGGTACCGTACTTCAGATGATCACAGGTCTCTTATCTCTGGCCCTCTGTGTGGCCTTATCACATGTAAAATATATAAAATCATCAAATAAAATGATCCTTTAAAAATAGAATGACAAAGCTGTAAAACATCCTAAATATAAATATACCATTGGTGTTTAATATGAGGGTTTACGCATGAAATATCCTTTATATATTTATAATTGATATACACTTATTTATTTTACTATGTCAATATGTCTTTGTAAATGTTTTGGCACCAAACTGGCGGCAGTTATGAAAACAGTAAATAGCTGGAAGAGTTGCTTGATTGAAAAGTTTATTGAAAATAATTGATAATTAGGCTATTTTCTCTTTAACCATAAGGTATTTCCACTAGAAATTAATGGACAGATATAAAAAGGTATTCAACTATAAATCACCAAGATTCTGGTAACTTTGGTAAACTTTATTCATCCGCCAAGGACAATTTGTTTCAGCCTCAGAAGTGGTGTGTGTGAGTGTCCGTGTGTGAGTCCCTCTCTAAGGGAGAGAAACAGGGGGTGGGGGGGGGGGGGGAATGAGCTTTTTTTTTTTTTACGTGTGTGCTTTAAGGGAGACTTACTCTCACAGAAGCCCCATCTCTTGTCCCTGTCGTAGTCGTAGGTGGTGGCGCACCACAGGCGGTCGTCCCCCCGTCCATCGGTGGTACAGTCCAAGTACTCCTTCCCCAGGAAGAGGAAGGGGAAGAGACAGGGCTTCCCATTGGCTGTGCCCCCATTCACCACAGGAACTGCATCAACCAAAAATCACAGGTGGTAGGGGGAGGGGAGTATGTTCAAGCGAAAACACAGACAGGAAACAGATGGATGGTGATCAACGTGTGTGTGTGGCAAACATTAACAAATTGAAGCTCAAATCTGTTTTAAGTAAGCTAAAGCTTTAACCATTCTGGTTAAATTATGAAAGAAACCCTACAGTAGTGGCCAAATGGTACATATACTCTTCACCAGAGTATTGATGCTACTTTCAGAGATGTCACAGGTGCAAGTGTGTTTTAATTTCCCATGAGAGCCAACAGTTTCACTGAGATCAAGTTCAAAAAGACATCACACTGTTGCCATGCTCAAGGCCAGGTGACAGCAAAGCTTAGTATGTCCCAATTTCTCAAAATGTTTCCTCAATGTTCTCAGCCAAGATATTGTCACTCTAAACATGTTCCCAGTTCTAGAGGTGTAAATGTGGGATAGCTGAAATCTATGGAGTGAAACTTTCGGTGCTTTGCAGACTGATATAATAATTAATTCCTACAAAGATATGACACTTCTCCATGTAACATTCTTCAATTATCTTCTTATTAGTCAAGACAGGCACAAGTCACAGAAAACGAACCGCAATGGCCACTAGTGACACATGGCCAATCAAGGCTATCTTACGGAACCTTACCCTCTTTAGGCCTTTCTTCAACGGGAGGAGGTTGGGTGGGCAAGTCCTCCTTCTCTTCCCTCTCCAGCCCACCCTCCTGGACCCCACCATCGGGTCTTCTCTCTCCCTCCGGCTGCGAGGCCTCCCTGGGGGAAGTCACCATTCCTGCTACAATCCTGGCGCCTACTGGGACCTCATCCTCCTCCGAGTTGTGCTCATGGTAAGACTAAAGGGGGGAAACAAGCAATATGAAGGGATGGAGGGGTTACGTGATGAAATATAACTTAACATATTGTCATTAGCTTGAAGGTTAGTGGATGAGTGAGACCAAGGCTATACAAATGTGCTTTATTTGGTTAGTTCTTTGCAAAGCAAATCGGCTTTGCCATTTATAATGTTAACCTATATTTTTGCTTGCATGATACCAAACAGCTTCTTATGTAAACATTGAAAAAGATAGGTAGGCCTACTTCCACATCTAAATGCAATTATTGGTTAAGACAGACTTGCTTGCCTAAGGATTGCAGCTTGGTCCTAAACTAGCCTACATTATCAATATGGAATGAAGTTAAGCAATAGAAAAGGGCACAGCAGGTACTATTTAATAGTTATAGCTAGCTAGCTACCTTCAATTCAGGAGCATGATCATTATTCCCCTCTGGCTCTTCATCTGCAGAAAGACAACATCAAAGAAAAACGTCAGATTAAGTATTGTGCATCTGCTGACAAACAATATTCATCCAAAGAACACGACTTCGTAGAAGAAAGCACTTTCCTGCAGACAGTACTGATAACTAGGTAGCTAGCTAACTAACGTTAGTGCCTCAGAAAATGACAAGCTTGTTAGTTAATGCAATTCTAGCCAACACTATCGTTACACAATCTGTCAAATAGTATAAACCTTGACATCTACCTGGCTGACTTGTTTTTGTTTTTTTCTTACCAGCGGTTGTTCCGTGTGAGAAAACTATTAGGAGAATCACCATAGGCAAAATCATCCTCGTAGTATTTAATGACCCTTTAAAATCCATGTAGATGACAAGCTAACGATTGCTAGCCAGCTAATTAGCTCCGTGGCTAATGTTAAACATTCACTTCCAGGATTATTCTTCTCGTGCATACGCTGCTAACGTTCATCAGGACAAAGCCCACGAAATGAGGACAAAGCTCACAAAATAAATAATTGAAAAGGTGCAGTTTAAAAAAACTAGCTAATGCTTTCTAACAGCTGACATGCAATATTTTTTAGCTGGCTAGCTAGCATGTTAGCTAAACAAAAGCTATAATGTTAACGCCGGTAAGCTTCGCAATGCTTTGAGATAAATATTTCGTTAGCTAGGTAAATGTACTTTTTCCTGGTCTTTGGAGCTTGTTAATAAATAGCAACGATGAGCTGTACCTAGCTAATATCGTTTGCAGTTTCATCAGACAACAACTAGCAACCCCTGACCCTCGAACACCACTTCCTAATCCCTCCGATATAGACCAATCCTAGACGCGATGACTGACATTGACCAATCGTTGATGGTCAATGACATGTCATCCAATCCGGTGGGCACACACGTTTCTTACTTGTACGGTAGACGGTTTGTCCCCGACAGCTGAAACGCCTTCTGACACATTTTGGGATCTTCTCTCATGTAAATGTGTGTGGCAAAGCAATACAATGTCTTTGGGAGCCCCCAAAGAGCAACGTTTTTAGTACAAATAGCACATTGGCACATCTTAGCATAATGGGTATTGTAAGCTACAGTTAACTGCCAAAATTAAGGAAACACTTAAGTAAATGCGGGATACAAAGTATATTGAAAGCAGGTGCTTTAATCCACACAGGTGTGGTTCCTGAGTTAATTAAGCAATTAACATCCCATCATGCTTAGGGTCATGTATAAAATGTCCAGTTGCCCATTATTTCGGTTACCATGGCTAGAAGAGATCTCAGTGACTGAAAGAGGGGTCTCAAGAGGAGCATAGGGGGTTTAAAGGGTGTCACAATCTCCAGATCTCAACCCAATTGAACACTTTTGGGAGATTCTGGAGCGGCGCCTGAGACGGCGGTTACCACCACCATTGACAAAACATCAAATTTCTCATGGAAGAATGGTGTCGCATACCTCCAATAGAGTTCCATACAGTTGTAGAATCTATGCCAAGGTGCATTGAAGCTGTTCTGGCAGCTCGTGGTGGCCTAACACCCTTAAGATGCTTTATGTTGGTGTATCCTTTATTTTGTCTGTTACTTGTATATCCTGTAGGATAATATATTCCTATCTATCCATCCATCCATCCAGCTCTTGTATGATTGTATCCAAAGGACTGTCTTCTGGATGTGTTAGCTGAACTCCTACATTAATTATTGATGCCAAAACATTTTGTAATTAAATGTACATGTATCCCTTGCTGTCCATATTTCATGTGTTCTACAATTTGTTTTGACGTCTTCATTTTGTTTAAATATGCATGTTTTTAATTATTCAGACTAATATATCTAAGAATATCAGGCTTGAGCAACCGTTTTTCCACACCATCACCGGACATAGGGTACACATTGAGCAACAATATTAACACAAGCATTCTTTTGATCATTTGTCTTGCAGTCAGTCGTCATTAAACCCCCAAAACATAATTCAGTAAAAATTTCATTTATTTCAGTATGACACACTTCAAATGTGCAGAATTGGAGATTGAGAATGCTAATAGTTAATTCCAAATATACTGTCATTCGAGGGATTGTTTCTACATCTCATTTTGCCTATAAACTCAGTAAGGTAAGCACAGACATCAAAGAAAGCCTTGAACCAATGACCCTTATACGGACTGCCAGTCTTTCAAGTGGAAAAGGCACCGTTTGTCTACGCACGATGTAGGGCTGGTGCTACAAGAGAGACTGGGCTAAAGAGAGTATTCATCCACATTAAATAATCAGGGGGGTTTTTTTCAGTTTTTTTTTAAACATTATTCAGATGAGTCGATCTCAGTAGAGTCGGGCCCCGAATCCAAAAGTCTGTTTGATGGCTTCAAAGTAGTATCTCTTCCAACCCTCCTTCGTCCTATCCTCCTCTCCCGTCGGGACTCCTTTACATTCCACCTTCAGCTCAGTCTCGTTGCCTCGATCCTTCATGTTCAGGGTAATAGTCGCATAGTGCTCTGGAAGAGGGAAATCAGAGCCAATTTTAGAATAATTTTGTAGCCAAAACAATAATATATCCAAGCCATTTATGTTACTATCCAAGGTTTCTCAAGTCCAGTTGTGGGGACCCAACAGGGTATGCAGGTTTTTGTTCCTGCCCAGTATCAACACATTGGATCCAACTAATCACATCATGCCCGTGATTAGGTTGAATCAGGTGTGTTCGTTGTAGGATGGACCAAATCCTGCATACCCTGTCAGTCCACAGGAGCAGAGTTGAGAAAGCATTGTAGAGATTACCTGTATAAAAAATACCTAAGTGGAGAAATGCTGAAATTAAGTTTTCATTGAAAGTTGCCAAGGATAGAAGGAGCAAACACAAATCAATAGAGCACCACGGGGCAAGGTGGGGAAAACCTACCACACGGCCAAGTCTTGAACCTCCATTTCATAACAATCTTTTCATCTGGGACCTAAGAAGCGGAATCCAAAACCACAGTTAGATTTGGTCATTCTCCAACAATGGGTTATGATCGATAGAACATGATCTCAAGCAGACGCGTGTCCTCACCAGCTCCATAAACTCTCCGTTGACGCTCCCCTCTAGCAGCTGAAACTTCCCTCCTTTGTCTCCGTCGACCACAGCTGCAGTATGGGTGAACGCCTGGACCATCTGCATTACGCGAGAGGATACCAGAGATTAGTCAAATCAGCATTGATTCCTAAGCCCTCAGCCAATTGTAGTCATGATTCAAAAGAGTTATGGGACGACAATTTAAAAGTAGGTTGGCTTTATATTATAATAGGCAACATTTAAGCGGAAGTAATCCACACAGAGTTAAAGTCTATTGAGGTTGCTCTTCGTTCCCTATTAAAAGCAACAGAAGCAGTGAAATCCAACATAAGGGTATTGGAGTGAATCAAAAACATTTGCACTGGTGAAATTCTTTGCAGTAGTGAAGTACAGGAGAAAAACAATAGCAAATAAAAATTATAACAAAACCTTGGTAGAACACACCATTGAAGGCAAACAAGCACATGCACTCCATTATATATATATATATACACTCTATCCAACTACAATTTTAGGGCAACTGAGCTTGTTAATGACCTGGGTGAAGTAGTGAAGCATCTCACCATTGCCAAACTCTTGTTGTTTCAATAATCTAAAATGGTCTCATTTTAGTTGTAGTTTTTATTGTGTTGGTTTTCTTGTGCATAGTGTATTTATGCAAATTGTGTCATAATTCAGCTTTGTTGCCATTGATACTTTGTAATGTTGAATTTGTGAAATAAACCATTCTCTACTTCCTCGGTGACTGGGGAAAGGACTGGTGTGTATTCATTAGTGCACACCGTAGCAAAACGTTTTGCAACGGGAATGTTTTGTAATGAAAACCAAGTGAAGAGTTTATTTCCAAAATGCTATATAACTTTTTCACATTTGTGTTTTTCATAAGAAATTATTGCCTATGGGTACCTTCATGTGTGTTCAATATTACTGTTCTCATTTAAATTTATAGATTTGAATTCAAATGTGTTTTTTTGCAAAACGCTTTATTAGCTGGAATGGAATGTTGGTATCCTGTATATTTAACTGATATGTGGTTGTCTCACCTAGCTATCTTACGCTAAGTCGCACTGGATAAGAGCATCTGCTAAATGACTAAAATGTGAAATGTAAATGTTTTCTACACGGATCTCATTTTACAATATTTAATTATTTTTGATGTCACAAATGTATCATTTGTACAGCTGTATTTGTTATGTTTGACTGTGTAAAACCTGAGGTGGATATATAGCATTTTGCTAAAAAACATGATTTGTCTCTCAAATGAAAACATCACGTGATAGATTTTAAACAAATACATGTCTGTCATTACACAACACAATTCCATGATTAGATAGTGAAAAAACTATCTCTTTCATAAATTCTTTAAAACAATAAATGCCAATTTACCAACATTTCTGAAAATGGATATATAGCTTTTTGGAAATAAACTCTTAAAGTGTTTATCGGACAAGTTCAGGTTAGTCCCTCCCCGTTTCTGCCCTTTTGCGTTTGTTTGTTTCCTAGTGAATACACCCCTGGACAGGTTTCCAAGCATATTACTTCCACCTGTCATGTCTGGCCCAATCAGTGATGTTGGAGGAAAGTACACAAGGAAGGGAAGCTATTATTTGACCACTTTACTACTCACATCCTGGTTGATGAAGGTTCTGTACAGCTCGTCAGGTGAGGTGAGGAAGGTCTCCTTGAGACTAAACTTGCAGGTGGGGATCTTGACCCCTGTGCTAGGAGAGGGGGTCGATACAGAGGAGCCAATCTGGGGACATACAGACAAGCGTGATCATCCTGTTATTCATAAATCCTATGATTGTGTACATTAGGTGAAGCTCACGTGATGCTCGATAAGCTTGAATATTTAAAATCCAAAACGTGGAAGTTCAGTAGATGGATTATGTATTAGATGTATTATATGGCACTTTACATCGATAAGGGGGGGATGGGGAAATCACTTAATCCACTACCTATGTTGGAATGCTATGGAACATTTCCTACACGGTTTGTTAATGCTAGTAGGGTTTTAATCATGTTCATTAGCCCCTTGCTTCATTGGCTCTTTGATTGTGTCCCAATTATTTTCTCTTCTCCTTCTGTGTGTATTGGATTTATGTAAATATTGGCTGGAGAGTTTCCACCATTGTTAAATCCATGACAGAAGTGAAATAGAAAAGGTAGAGAATGGGGACATAAGGTAAGAAGGCAACTGCCACCCACCTGGGTTTTGTCCACTTTGACCTTTGTCTGAGTCTGCGCCGGCTGTGGTTTGCTCGCCACCCCATTCGCCGTTGGGAGGATCATGCCCTGAGTGAACTCTGCAATCATCGGAAAGGTTTAATTTCAATCAGTATCAAGCTGAACTATCACCTATAGAAATATCTCTATGAACAGGCACTAGGGTTAAAACGATTTGAATAAATAAAGGCCACACCGGATTTGAGGTGGTCCACATAGCTCCCCAGGGCAGCTCGCACTTTCTTTGCTCCCTCCTTCTTCATGAGTTCGGTGAGGGTTGTGTTGGGCTCGTCCTTACAAAGTGACACACTGATCTGTGCCCAGAAAAAAAAAAAGAGGCAAAGATTATACCCAATGTCATGGTAGGTGTGGTCTTGTTCTTTTTACTCATACAAAAGTATGGTAAGTCGCTCTGGATAAGAGCGTCTGCTAATTGACTTAAATGTAAATGTAATGTAAATAACTATTTTAAAGAGTAAATAGCATTACAACCAACAGCCATAAGCTGTCGATGTGCAAATTAGCCTGAACAAACATGATCCTGAATGGCATTCTGTCATAACAACCTACATCTAGGTCGTCCATGTCATTTTCATCGGATAGGTTGGGAACTTCGATATTCCCTTTGTACTTGATTCCGGTTTTTGTAGTTCCTGGGACAGAGCGAGAGAGAAAGAGATGTCATGAAGCCTACTTTGAAGAGATACTATGACAACCCACCCACTTCTCACTAAACCCCTGGGGCTTAGTGTGCTGGAGAATATAATTACAGTCTCATTGCCATGGAAACAAGTGCTACGCTGCTCTTGGTTTGGCAAAACCCTGTGTTTCAAACAAAATGTAGGCTACATTTGGCAGAAAACCTAACATATCTTATCACATGTTCAACATGAGTTCCATATAGAGTGATGTTTGTGTCTGCTAGTGTTGTCACGATACCAACATTTGACTAATGATACGATACCAGGCCAAGTATCACGATACTGAGTAGTATCACGATACCACGGGGGGGGGGGGATTCACAGTAGCCTAGCGTCCCATTCGCCCTGTCCCCCGGATGCTTGTTCCTGTTTTCTAAATCTTCTGCACATGTGCTACGCAAAAACATGTCAATTAAATTCACACTTCTACTCAATACAACACATTGAATTTAACTTCCCACTGTTCAGCATATAATAGAATACTGCATAGAATGGCTGATTTGCATAATGATCTGCATGTCATTGTGGCAGTATGGGAAAACACTGCATGAAACCTTTACTCTTCAGTTAACACACACACCTCCCTCAAACTGTCTCCCTCTCCCTCATAAACACACACGCCACTCTCTCTCCCACAAGCATACACTGCTCCCAACTTTTAAAACATTAGGCACCAATGACTTATATTAGGCCTATATGAATCCTACCTTTAAAGCACATTTCATGAGTAGCCGCACCTTTTCCTTTCTTCCTGTGCCAATCAAATTTACATAAACCTTCTGTCAAGTTACAAGGTTGTTAGCTAGCTAGGTAACATGACTGAATAATGTTATCAAACCAATAATTAGCAACCTGGTATTAGTTTAAAACGGCCCGCGACATGGTTTGTGAAATTATATCAAATACGTGCGAATCCCAATAGGAAGAAAAAAAAAGTAGCTCCGGTAATATGGGTAATATGTTTTTAACCAGTTAGGCTAGAGACAAGACGTTTTCTCTGCTGTAAAGCTACATGCCTGTCGCGAAGCTGTGCTCCATTTCCCCTCTCTGGCTTTCAGAGGCTGCGTGACAGCGAACTTGCAATCTACTCAGACTGGCCTGTGCTCATGGTTATAACAGGCGCTTAAATGAAACAATGTATGAAATCTGGCTCGCTCTGCTCCAATTTAACAAACGTACAAATATAACAGAACACTCATCAGGGTCTGCATTCCCGCTCGCCATCACGGCTAGATTTTATTTAAAAAACTGATGGAGTAGATGCGCAGGAAAAACAGACGGAGAAGCGGTGAGTGAGGGATGGTAGTAGGGGATTCGGCTGGCTGATTACAGCTGTCACACGTGATATGCACATGAAAGTGAAGTGGATATTATCGGATCGGAGCATACTAGTGGCTGTTGCTTAAATTCCACTGAATTTATTAAAACTAACTTTATAAACATTTGAACAGGCGCCAGAAGGTTCATTACATCCGTAGGACCGAAAAATTCAGTAGTATCATATGAAACGGTACTCTAAAATGTTGGTATCATCAGTATCATGACGTTTTAATGGCGTGATATTAACGTGGTACCGGTATACCGTGCAATTCTAGCCTCTGCTGAACTCACCAGTCCACGTCGCCTTGACGTTCCACTCGTAGAAGTAGATGAGCTTCCCCTTGCGGTTGTTGATGGACGCCTCACCGTCCAGCGTGGGGACGTCAGTGACCTCGCAGCTCCCCTCTAGGCCCTCCACACGCAACCCCAATAGGAGCTCCTTCAGCTTGTCTGTCGACCAGCCTGTCACATCACGTTCGGTCCTGTAGGCACACACCCACAATGAATATATTCAACTGGGTCGTGTTCATTGGGAACAGTCACTGTAACAAAGCATTCTGTAACAGAAACAAGCATTTGTTATTGGAGGATTTTCCTGTTTCAGCCCTTTTTCTTATATTTGGTGCCTAATGTACTTAACTAGTAAAACTGTGATATGGGAATTAAGCTGTTAACATTGACATGTTCAGTATATGTGGACCATACGAGTATCAAGACCACAACCCAGGTGTTGCCGGCATAGGCCTACAGGGAGTCAAAAGAAGGCAATCCTATTTTAATAACATTCTTATGCAAGTGAATTGTTTCCTGTAGAAATAGTTAGTACAGTTGGGTTTCACCTGTAGTTAACCAGGGGATTAATTGACAACATTTACTTAGTATTGCCTATTTACTCTATGATATACCTCAAACCATGATCACAGCGAGTCAGATCAGAATATCTATGTAATTACCCTGAATAAAAGTAATGATCAGGTAGAGAAAACATTTACTCTCTCGCTTGTAGTTCTTTTCAGTTCAGAGGGTTGTGATCATTGCTACCGTTCGGTGTCAAGTGTTATAAATATCCCCCATCTGCACCAGTTGTATCCCGTCCCTTGCGCTCCATAAATAGCTTTGCCAACTAGTACATTCCAGAAGCTTCTGGACAGACAGACCATCGGGGGTAAAACACATGGGAGCCTAACACTGACAAAACATTTTGATAACAGTGTAAATCTCTCCGATAAGGTGATTTATCAATATAGTCGGCTCTATTTACTCAGATTAGAAAACGCTAATTACCATCAAAGTAGACCTCATGCAAGACTGCAAATCATCTCTAGCGGACACCTTTGCCGTCAGCTCGCTAGCTACCTTGATCCAAAACGTAAAGATATTTAAAATGTGTATTTACTGTTCCATATTTTAACTAATATGTCTTATTTATGCATTTGGTCTCGTCTTGTATAGAATACTATCCTAGTAGCAGTCTAGTATTTATAACGTGCCATGAATACTAGGCTAGTATTTTTGCAAAGAAGCAATATAGCTATCTAGCTACCTACCTAGATGATATTAGCAGCATACCCTTATTTTAGCTAACCAGATCCTCTTCTCTTAAGCCAGTGGAAGTATTTCCTTCCAACTATATGAACAAGCTGAAATCTATTTCAATTAATGGTGTCAGAATGCACTGCTGTATTAAAGCAGTTCAGAACTAACTTGTTGACATATTCTGTTGCAGAGTCACTCATTGCAGAATGTAACCATTATCATGAATAAGCATGTTTATTTGACAATGCACCTAGTCACCCATCAATCACCTCCAACAATTACATTGTTTTAAAGAAATCAAAATAGTAAACAATGCATACATCTGCATTTTATACATAACATATAACCCTCTGAATTTAAGTAAACATTACATTATTTAGTCATCAATGCCACATACCTGGGACATTGAAGAGCACCATATAAACTATTATTACTATCCAAGAGCACAGATTCTTCTGCTTTTCCATTTTAGGAATTAGACCAGCACAAACAACAGTGTAAAACAGCATATTGTGATTTTGGTGGGCAAGTTACAAATGGAAAAACTGGATGCTTTAAATAGTATTTGATATAAAACCTACGCCAACTCCAGCAGAATGAGAAACACACTTAACAGACTCAATACAAGTAAGCCATGCCTAAACCCAGCTATATCAACACCCTTCTTGTCGATTTAACAGGTCCATGTTGCTGCTGTCAATTGTGAGCAGCACATTTACCACTGCATTCAGTCTGAACCCCAGAATACGCAGGAGGACAGCATTACATGTGAAAAAAAGGTAGTAAAAACAGTACACCACAACACTTTTAAACGTGTTACTGAGTCTAGATGTTATCAAATCAGGAGAAGAACAAGTGAAGGAAGCACTGGCAGCATAGGGAAATTGGGTGAAGGTAGGCTGAGTTTATAGAGATAAGATGGAGAGTTCCAAAGTGTCGGAAGTTGAGGGACCATAAAAGGCATAGTGTGGAATAAGGGTTAAATAGAGAGATGGTTGGCCATGGAATAAACATAACATGGGGTGCTGGTGTGCTTCTGCAGCCCTTTCAGGCCCATGTCCAGTCATTCTCGGGGTCTCAGCATGTGTCCCTTGATGTCATTCCGTCTCAGTTGCAGCATTTAAATCGTGGTCATCGTGTGTCTATGAATCACAACATTAAAGATGATGCGTGATCACAGCATTTCCACAAATTGAGCCATAGACAATACAACTTAAGCATTGAGGACAGCATTTTATTGACAACATGGTGGTTTACACTACTGTATGTCTACTGTGTGTGAATGATGGAAGAATTTTACCCCAGCTGTAGGTCCATTTGAGTGTATGTGCTCCCTTAGTCCTGCATATCAACCAGTACTGGAACCATTGAAGACTTGGAATGCTTGCTCTCAAAGTGCTGCTTGAATTTCTTCGGGTCTGCATCTATAAACATCAAGTACAAAATGCAGGAAGTTAATCTGTGACTTAGATTGAATTCAAAGTTGACAAATGATAAACTAAGCAATACGATGCAACAAACGACTACACATATGAACGACTGTACCACACAGGCCAGTACAATAGCCTACACATGGAGAGGAACCTAAAGGCACATACAGTACCAACCAACACTACTCACCCGACAGACAGGGCAGGCGTGGACCAGTGCTGCCTTGGCTGCAGTCTTCTGGTTCACAGCTGCTCCCTTCTTAGCAGCTGCCGTCATGGCATCAGTCAACAAGTTCAACTTGAGAGTGGAGCATGCGTTATATATCAATAACCCCCCCAATTGTACCCATAGTACAGAATAATGACTGAAATTGGTGGACAGCTCCAGATCTGAATGGCAGGTGTGTATAAGCTTTTGTCCCAGCCCAGCCCAGCCCATACCTAATTACAAATCATAGCCTATCGCTGTGATTCGGTATGTTAATTATTTAAGTTGGGTGTTAGAGCTGGGCTGGGACAAAACCATTCACACACATTCGTGCTCTTCAGGACTTCATGCAATGTCTGAAACAGACCAAAGCAGAATAGTGTTACAGGTTGAAACAGCTTACCTAATTGAGAGGTGATCAGACTCAGGCACACTCATTGGTTCTAGAATAAAGAAGGTGCAAATAAGGTTTGCAATTTGGCACCAATAACATGACAGTAATTCTACCTCAAACAAATGTGTGAATACCAATCAATTTAAAACCCACCATAGCAAGGAGGACTAAATAAGGTTACATAACCTTGCCTACTAGCTATACTAATGATCTGCTGTCCAGAGGATAACAGCAAACATCTCAATGTTATCTTGCAGTAAAGTAAGCACACTGTTGACTCAAACGAGGGTGCTAATCAGCCATCTCTGAAACCTCCCAAAATGCCAGACTAAAATAAATACAGCTAGCTAGGGTAGCTATAAGTCATGTAGTCCTTGAAGTAGGCTACCCATCCCTCAACCACAAACACAAACAAACATTATCAAGAATGCCTAGCCCTAGCTTTACCATCTAAGTTAGGTAGCAAGCTAGACTTAGTTCATAAAAGCCAAAGAAAACTAAACTTGTTTTAATGAATTCCTCATGCATTTAAATGGCTAGACAAATAGACGGCTAATGTAGCCATCTAGCCAGGCTAATGTTGCTAACTAGCTAACCATAAACTAGCTAGATAACAGGCATTTTCAATTTAAAACTTGCCCAAGACAGTTCACAGAATTGTCAATTTAAACAACTTTAGCCAATTTTTGAATTACTGAATGTAGCTAACATTAGATAGTTAATCCAGAGATTCTTACCTTTGCCTCGAATTGGCAGTCTCGTCCAGATCTTCATGGCTCTGGTGAGTGTCGTGAAGGTTGAGACAGGCATTTGTAGTTATATATGATGGCCACATTAGCAGCTAATTAGCTTTTCATTTTTGGGGGTGGTAAATACAGGCGAATATATTGATAAAAGTCACCTTGTCCGAGAGAGATTTACACGGTTATCAAAACGTGCCGCCAGGGTAAGCCTACACGAAAACATCGTCTTTATTTGAAGCGTTTCTAAAATCCACAATAGATCAAATGAATGATGGAAATTGGAACCATGTCTGTGTTTGACCGCTAGGTTTGATGGGAATTATGACTAATACTGTAGTAGACTACTACACAGAACATGAGTTATAGATCTGTAATTCTAATTGAAAGCAAGTCTAAGAAGCGGTAGATATGTTCTATGTGCACTATTTATATGCTTTCCATGCTTAAGTTTAGGTTTTGCATCTTTTACTTTTGGTATTGTACACCAGCTTCAAACAGCTGAAAATACAATATTTTTGGTTATGGAAAATATATTTCATAGCGGTTTAGATGGTACAATGATTCTCTACACTATACTTGCTTGTTTTGTCCGATAGAGTGAAATTAGGTGGAATAATTAGAAATGTAGCAACCAGGAAATGGCGGAGCAATTTCTGCATAATGCGTTTTAAAACGCAGAAATAATCTAGGGTAGAGATAGCGACCGAACACTCAACTCCGTTCTCTTATAAGAGAACGTGGTTGAGTGTTCCTCGGCTAAGGTAGATAGGGACAGTACAGCTCAGACGCTGCTGCATCTATAGCCTCTGACAACGGTGTGGCCCGGGGGGTCTGAACCTCTCACTTGATAACGACCTGCCGAAAATCACCCTCAAAACAACATAGAAATTAAGATAAAAACGGTGGTGCAGATTATGCAATGTATACGACAGCATAATCGATTCCCACAAAACATGTGATATTTGAAAAAAGCATGTTGACAGTTCTAAAATGTAAAAAGCGACGACTGACCGTGACAGAAAGTAATCATCTCTGAGTAGGCCTTTTGCCGAGGTATTTCCAACTGGATCTGAGAGTGTGCTTTCTTCAGCTATCTAGGCTAACGTTACTCACCAATGCCAGTTATTGACGTTTGTTGCATCGGCTCTCTCCTCCACGATCCAGCGTGGATCCCCTTCTCCCCATTTCGCCATGATGACAGTGGTGGCTAGTTAATGTGTTCGCTAAAGTTATTTGCTAGCTACTACCAAACAAGCTGTTCAATTGATTCCCTAAAGCTGGCTAACGTCAGCTAACTAGCAAGCTAGCAAAATGAAATACAAATGCCTATAACCAAAAAGGAAGAAACGTGACGACGAGCTACGTTAGCTGGCGTTAGTTACACAACTAGCCACAGGCTAACGTTGGTAATATAAACCTAGCTGGCAATCTGTGTAGCTTCTGTGTATGTATTTTTTACTGACAAATAAAACCAATTAATCGCTAACCAAAACATGAACGTTAGCTAAACCAACTAAGCCAATAATTTGTATTATATCTAAAACTGCGTTACGGCCGTAGATATGTACCTGAGCGCCGGTGTGCTTCTTGGTTTTATGACACTGGTTTTTCTAGAAAACTCGTTTTGAAATGCAAGGAGCTTGCGCACTCGCCGTAGAAATTACTAGAAGCGGACAAAAAAATTTCTAGACGCGAACAATAAGCGGATGTAGCTACGTGCGGAAGTTCCTGTCTAAAGAAAAGGGTCGTCACTATTTGCAACAACATTAAATCATACACCTCGCCTATTTCTACAATTGATCTTCTCAAAATCTGATTTTAAACCAAACCCTAACATTAACCACACTGCTAACCTTATGCCTACACTTCAATTAAGACCAAAAATCACTTTTTGTTTTCATGAATTTTTACGATATATCGACTTTGTGGCTCTGGTAACTAGTGGACACCAAAATAATAAAATATGATTACATTACAGTAATGATAACAGTATTTGATATCAATACACGTCTTAATACTAAACATACTGATATATAAAATAATCTTTGGGTTTTTGATAAACAACTTATTTTTGCTTTGTTTGGAAAATGTGTGACAGGAAGATGATTCCCTCAGTCTCTCTAATAGTCATTGGTTCCACAATAGGCTTTTATTAAGAAATCATAACAACATTGTCACTATTTGGACGTTTTAATGGAAATTATGAATAATTGTGAATTATTAAAATGACACAATATCAGATTGGCAGCAAAAACAATATAAATCGTGAATAAAAACAACCAATTTAGGGGACACGGAAGTAAAACAATTGAGGATACATTACGTTTGTAGTCTTTTTGTGGTTATCCTAAATTCTTTGAAGCGTATAGTAAATCACAAGCGCACTACATTTCCCATCATAGGGTAGGGCAGATTGATCAAGAGACGTCTACTGCTACGGGTGAGCTGTATAGCTACATTTCTGAAGGTAATTATTCGTTTATACTCTTTTAGATCCATCACTTATGAAGTCATTTACTAATTATCCTTCACTCTTCCACCTTACACAGCCCTGAAATATGTCGATAGTTCCTGAGATGGTCATGTCATGATAGAACACTTTCCTTTCCATCTCTGCCTCCCTCAAAAATACCTGCCATCAATCACCACAACAGTATATAGCCTAGCTACAGGCTCACAAGAATAATACTTACCTTTTGTATAGCTATCGAAAACCCTTCTCTTTTTAGCGGTTAGCTTTTCACACTGCTGGCCATGTGAACTTCAGTTCCGACCCTGTGTTAGAAAAATCAATAATAATCGCTTGTGAGACGGTTTTTCGAAACATGTGACCCTTATCTTCCATATCAGCGAGAAATAATCTTTCAAAAAATATATATACACTTACTGTAACTTTAGCAGATTTGCACAGATCCATACGCTGTGTGTGCCTCCAGTTGACAAACTACACTTCCTCCCCAGTTAACCTTACAGTTACACACAGGTGTTCGAAGCACGCTAGATAGCTAATTAGCACAGGTGGTCACCTGTTTTCCATCTGTCAACAAGCGCTGTAACATGGAGACATGGCTGTGTGGGAACACTAATCCTAACCCTATAAAGGTGTGTAGTAATTTAACTTTTGTTTAATGTATTTTTTATTTCTAGCTAATATGAAAGATACTTTCCTTATATTTCCAAAACCTTACCGCGAGTGATGCGTTTTAACATTCAGAACAAGCATCAGGACTGTTAACAAAACTTCCCCCGCCAGAAGATACTATCGTCAATAGGCGCTTAAGGTAGTTAGTGTGTATGAATGGGTTATCTGTTGTCAGAATTGCTTTTCATGAGTGTGCTAGTATACAATCTAACAATAGTGTCAGAAGCAAAAGTAGCAGGGGAAAACATATCCCAATATATTAGACCTCTGATTATTTAATTAATTAATAAGACAAGGTCTAAGGGCATTCCATAGCGACTGCGGTCGAGATAACTAATGGTCCAATGACTGTACCTGCTAGCAGCATGTGTCCTGTGTCCAAAGCTACATCCATAATCTATAGACGGTTCTGATTGGAGTTTTTAGATGCTTCCTCCCCAAATCAAAATCTACACTGAACAAAAATATTAACGCAACATGTAAAGTGTTGGTCCCATGTTTTATGAACTGAAATAAAAGATTGCCTACATTTTCCATATGCACAAAAAGCTTATTTCTCTCATTTTGTGCACACATTTGCTTACATCCCTGTTAGTGAGCATTTCTCCTTTGCCAAGATAATCCATCCACCTGACAAGTGTGGCATGTCAAGAAGCTGATTAAACAACATGATCATTACACAGGTGCACCGTGTGCTGGGGAAAATAAAAGGACACTCTAAAATATGCAGTTTTGTCACACAACACAATGCCACAGACGTCTCAAGTTTTGAGGGAGCGTGCAATTGGCATGCTGACTGCAGGAATGTCCACCAGTGCTGTTGCCAGAGAATGTAATGTTAATTTCTCTACCATACCATCTACCAACGTCGTTTTAGAGAATTTGGCAGTACGTCCAACCGGCCTCACAACCGCAGACCATGTGTATTGTGTTGTGTGGGCGAGCGGTTTGCTGATGTCAACGTTGTAAACATTGTGCCCCATGGTGGCAGTGGGGTTATGGTATGGGCAGGTATAAGCTACGGACAACGAAAACAATTGCATTTTATCGATGGCAATTTGAATGCACAGAGATACCGTGACGAGATTCTGAGGCCCATTGTCGTGCCATTCATTCGCCGCCATCACCTCATGTTTCAGCATGATAATGCACAGCCCAATGTCGCAAGGATCTGTACACAATTGTCACCTATTGAGCAAGTTTGGGATGCTCTGGATCAACGTGTACGACAGCCTGTTCCAGTTTCCACCAATACCCAGCAACTTCGCACAGCCATTGAAGAGGAGTGGGACAACATTCCACAGGCCACAATGAACAGCCTGATCAACTCTATGCGAAGGAGATGTGTCGCGCTGTATGAGGCAAATGGTGGTCACACCAGATACTGACTGGTTTTCTGGTCCACTCCTCTACCTTTTGTTAAGGTATCTGTGACCAACATATTCATATCTGTATTCCCAGTCAAGTGAAATCCATAGATTAGGTCCTAATGAATTTATTTCAATTGACTGATTTCCTTATATTAACTGTACATTTTTGTTTAGTATAATATGGATGCCAATGTTTTGTTTTCGCTTTGTGCGCACACCTGTCTGTGGTTCACACCTGTCTGTTGTTAGCTAATGAGTCCCGCAAAACAGGCATGTGCTGCCCTAGAAGGGTTGTAAAGGAAACGTGTGGGCACAAAGCTAGAACAAAACATTGCCATTCATATTTGATTTTGATTTGGGGAGCGGGGTATCATCTAAAAACTGGATTTAAGTTTATTGTTCACTGCTCGGCAAGGTAAACGGTGATTCTCCAATCAGAACCATCTACCAATTATGGATGTGGCTTCGGACGCGGGACACATGCTGCTTGCAGGTAGTCATTGGACCAATGATGTAAATTAATATAATTCTATACTGTGAATGGAATTCTACAGTATTTCAATTAAATGTTTCTAGGACAAAGTTAAATGTATTTAAGTATGTTTTTGTTGTAGTGGGGACAGCAACGTAAATACTTTTTTTACTTTAAGGAAAATGTTTATATATTAATTTTTATGTTTAGCTCACATAATGTAATTTAAAAGTATGCATTAAGGTGTCTGTAATAGAATACATTTGGCAAAAACAAATGTAGATATTCATGAATGCATTTCTATAGCTATTTTACAATGGTATGGGAGTGCCAAGATGGAGGTGCGGTGGCTTCAAAACAGCGTCCCTGGGTAGTCATCTAGTGGATATATAAATTATTGAATTAGACCATGAGATATCTGGAATGCAGTCGCAACTGAATGCCCTTAGACCCAGTCTTATTAATGAATTAAATAATTAATCAGAGGTCTAATATATTGGGCTAGGGGAAACAATGTGCACAGTACATGCTGACACTGACCAAGTGTGTGAGCTACAATCTCAAGAAGCATTTCAGTTAGGCCTTAAGCATGGGTAGGCAACCCTGTTCCAGGAGTGCCGCAGGTACTGCAGGATTTTGTTCCAACTAGGCACTACACCTGACCAACTGAGCTTTTGATCAGTTCAATGATTCTCTAAATTCAACACACCTGGTCTTCCAGGACTAGGGTTGCCTACCCCTGGCCTACAAGCTAGTAAAAATACTATATTTGAATATCCTATTACATTTTGGATACAGTAGCGAATTCTGGAGGAAGCCCGGCTGGGACTTGAACCAGCAAACCTAGCTTCTGTCTGTCCTTATACAACATAGTCATCCACATCGACATGGCCACAGTGGAGAAAGTAAAATGCTTCAAGTTTCTCGGCATGCACATCACTGAGGACCTGAAATAGTCCCTCCACACCAACGTTGTGGTGAAGAAGGAGCAATAGTGCCTCTTCAACCTCAGGAGGCTGAAGAAATTCAGCTTGGCCCCTAAGACCCTCACAAACTTCTACAGATGCACCATCAAGATAATTATGTCGGGCTACGCATCACCGGAGGTACACTGCCTGCCCCTCCAGGACATCTACAGCACCCGGTGTCACAGCAAGGCCAAGAAGATAATCAAGGACTTGAGCCATAACCTGTTCGCCTGGCTACCATCTAGCAGGCAAACACAGTACAGGTGCATCAAAGCTGGGACTGAGAGACTGAAAAACAGCTTCTATCTCCAGGACATCAGACTGTTGAACAGTCATCACTAGCCGGCCTCCACCCGGTACCCTGCCCTGCACCTTAGAGACTGCTGCCCTACAGTGGGGGAAAAAAGTATTTAGTCAGCCACCAATTGTGCAAGTTCTCCCACTTAAAAAGATGAGAGAGGCCTGTAATTTTCATCATAGGTACATGTCAACTATGACAGACAAAATGAGAAAAAAAAATCCAGAAAATCACATTGTAGGATTTTTTATGAATTTATTTGCAAATTATGGTGGAAAATAAGTATTTGGTCAATAACAAAAGTTTCCCAATACTTTGTTATATACCCCTTGTTGGCAATGACACAGGTCAAACGTTTTCCGTAAGTCTTCACAAGGTTTTCACACACTGGTGCTGGTATTTTGGCCCATTCCTCCATGCTGATCTCCTCTAGAGCAGTGATGTTTTGGGGCTGTCGCTGGGCAACACGGACTTTCAACTCCCTCCAAAGATTTTCTATGGGGTTGAGATCTGGAGACTGGCTAGGCCACTCCAGGACCTTGAAATGCTTCTTACGAAGCCACTCCTTCGTTGCCCGGGAGGTGTGTTTGGGATCATTGTCATGCTAAAAGACCCAGCCACGTTTCATCTTCAATGCCCTTGCTGATGGAAGGAGGTTTTCACTCAAAATCTCACGATACATGGCCCCATTCATTCTTTCCTTTACACGGATCAGTCGTCCTGGTCCCTTTGCAGAAAAACAGCCCCAAAGCATGAAGATTCCACCCCCATGCTTCACAGTAGGTATGGTGTTCTTTGGATGCAACTCAGCATTCTTTGTCCTCCAAACACGATGAGTTGAGTTTTTACCAAAAAGTTCTATTTTGGTTTCATCTGACCATATGACATTCTCCCAAACTTCAGACGGGCCTGGACATGTACTGGCTTAAGCAGGGGGACACGTCTGGCAATGCAGGATTTGAGTCCCTGGCGGAGTAGTGTGTTACTGATGGTAGGCTTTGTTACTTTGGTCCCAGCTCTCTGCAGGTCATTCACTAGGTCCCCCCGTGTGGTTCTGGGATTTTTGCTCACCGTTCTTGTGATCATTTTGACCCCACGGGGTGAGATCTTGCGTGGAGCCCCAGATCGAGGGAGATTATCAGTGGTCTTGTATGTCTTCCATTTCCTAATAATTGCTCCCACAGTTGATTTCTTCAAACCAAGCTGCTTACCTATTGCAGATTCAGTCTTCCCAGCCTGGTGCAGGTCTACAATTTTGTTTCTGGTGTCCTTTGACAGCTCTTTGGTCTTGACCATAGTGGAGTTTGGAGTGTGACTTTTTGAGGTTGTGGACAGGTGTCTTTTATACTGATAACAAGTTCAAACAGGTGCCATTAATACAGGTAACGAGTGGAGGACAGAGGAGCCTCTTAAAGAAGAAGTTACAGGTCTGTGAGAGCCAGAAATCTTGCTTTTTTTGTAAGTGACCAAATACTTATTTTCCACCATAATTTGCAAATAAATTCATTAAAAATCCTACAATGTGATTTTCTGGATTTTTTTTTCTCAATTTGTCTGTCATAGTTGACGTGTACCTATGATGAAAATGACAGGCCTCTCTCATCTTTTTAAGTGGGAGAACTTGCACAATTGGTGGCTGACTAAATACTTTTTTTCCCCACTGTATGTACAGTTGAAGTCGGAAGTTTACATACACTTAGGTTGGAGTCATTCAAACTTTCAAAAAAAAAGTTTTCAACCACTCCACAAATTTCTTGTTAACATACTATAGTTTTGGCAAGTTGGTTAGGACATCTACTTTTTGCACGACACAAGTAATTTTTCCAACAATTGTTTACAGACAGATTATTTCACTTATAATTCACTGTATCACAATTCCAGTGGGTCAAAAGTTTACATACACTAAATTGACTGTGCCTTTTAACAGCTTGGAATTCCAGAAAATGATGTCATGGCTTTAGAAGCTTCTGATAGGCTAATTGACAATTTTTTTTTTTTTGTCATTTAGCAGACGCTCTTATCCAGAGCGACTTACATGAGCAATTAGGGTTAAGTGCCTTGCTTAAGGGCACATCGACAGATTATTCACCTAGTCGGCTCGGGGATTAGAACCAGCGACCTTTCGGTTACTGGCACAACGCTCTTACCCACTAAGCTACCTGCCGCCCCGTGAGGAAGGAAAATTATGTGGATATATTGAAGCAACATCTCAAGACATCAGTCGGGAAGTTAAAGCTTGGTCGCAAATGGTTCTTCCAAATGGACAATGACCCCAAGCATACGTCCAAAGTTGTGGCAAAATGGCTTAAGGACAACAAAGTCAAGGTATTGGAGTGGCCATCACAAAGCCCTGACCTCAATCATATAGAAAATGTGTGGGCAGAACTGAAAAAGCGTGTGAGCAAGGAGGCCTACAAACCTGTCTGTTACACCAGCTCTGTCAGGAGGAATGGGCCAAAATTCACCCAATTTATTGTGGGAAGCTTGTGGAAGGCTTCCCGAAACGTTTAACCCAAGTTAAACAAATTAAAGGCAATGCTACCAAATACTAATTGAGTGTATGTAAACTTCTGACCCACTGGGAATGTGATGAAATAAATAAAAGCTGAAATAAATCATTCTCTCTACTATTATTCTGACATTTCACATTCTTAAAATAAAGTGGTGATCTAACTGACCTAAGACAGGGAATTTTTACTAGGATTAAATGTCAGGAATTGTGAAAAACTGAGTTTTAATGTATTTGGCTAAGGTGTATGTAACCTTCTGACTTCAACTGTACATAATCATTGAATACTTTAGTAATATTTACATGTTGTTTTTAGTTCTGAAATAATTTCTGTAGTTAGAAACAGATAAGATTAGCATTCCTGCAACATTATTTTGTTGAAATTTAAATGATTACTCATTTTATATACACATACTGTATTCTCAACATACAGTAGGTCATCCTATATAACTACTGCTGGACATACCTTTTCCTACTTATACAGTGCATTCGGAAAGTATTCAGAACCCTTGACTTCTTCCACATTTTGTTAAGTTACTGCCTTATTCTAAAATTGATTAAGTTATTTTAAAAACTCATCAATCTACACACAATTCCCCATAATGACAAATGGAAACAGGGTTTCGGAAATGTTAGCAAATGTATTAACAATGAAAAACAGAAATACCTTATTTCCATAAGTATTCAGGCCCTTTGCTATAAAGACTTGAAATTGGTCCCACAGTAGACAGTGCATGTCAGAGCAAAAACCAAGCCATGAGGTCGAAGGAATTGTCCGTAGAGCTCTGAGACTGGATTGTGTCGAGGCACAGATCTGGGGAAGGGTACCAAAACATTTCTGCAGCATTGAAGGACCCCAAGAACACAGTGGCCTCCATCATTCTTAAATCGAAGAAGTTTGGAACCACCAAGACTCTTCCTAGAGCTGGCCGTCCGGCCAAACTGAGCAATCGGGTATTTCAGTTTGCAAAAATGTCTAAAAACCTAACAAAATATGGAAAAATAAAGGGTTCTGAATACTTTCTGAATGCACTGTATATTGTCCATACTGTCTATACACACGACATATTTTATTTTCCGGAGTCTAACATTGCTCGTTCTGATATTGCTCGTTCTAATATTTCTTATTTTCTTGTTTTTGTTGTATTATTTGTGTATTACTATTGTACTGTTCGACACTTACTGCACTGCTGAAGCTAGAAACATAAGCATTTCTCTGCACCTGCTTTAACATCTGCTAATCTGTGTATGCGACAAATAAACTTTGATTTGATAGCCATTAGGCTATGCCCAGAAGTCTCAATTTTCTGAAAACATTCCTGGTGTTATTCAAGACACTACCCCCTTCTGAAGCACACCCATATGTTTAACTACCTCAAGTCCCCCATGCATCCAAGGGATGTTTCTGCTGCTCTCACTGTAGCACCATCCCACTTCTGACACTAATGTAGCATATTCTGGAGTAAGCCTGACTAGGACTCAAACCTGCAGCCTTATGTCTGAAACCGCTTGATGAGGTTGCTGGTGTTGTACTAAGGACGCTGTCACAATGGTTGTAGAAAGTATAAACAATAGAGATATAATATATCATTCTGTGGTATAAACAATGTGCAGTAAATGTAACTTACTCTGTTCCAGATGACAAGGGGTAAACCAGATGAGGACGAATACTGGAACAGTTCGAAGTTCAAAGCGTTCACATTTGATGATGAAGATGATGACTTTACCAGGGTAAATAACTTGAAAGTCTTAGGCCGTGTCCCAAATGGCACCCTATTCCATATATAATGCACTACAAGGTTTTTATAGTAAACTGAAACAAACTAAAACGAATGAAAAAACAAAGTAAATTGGAGGGGGGAACGTTGAGGTAGCTAACTAGAGTTTTCTTACATACTAAAGTTAACAATTGACCATTGTGCACAGCTGTCTCGATGCTCTAACTGTTAATAATCACTGTACGCAGTGGAAATCTGTGTTAAAACAGCTAACAGTAAGTGTATCTTTTGTATTTGTAAAGTTATTTTTGGATGATATAAAACATTATTGTTATCGATCAATAATGACGAACCTCCAGGCATTGACAGCTTAGATGGAAAGCTACTGAGGATGGTAGATGAAACTATAGCCACTCCTATCTGTCATATCTTTAATCTGAGCCTAGAGGAAAGTCTTTGTCTTCAGGCCTGGAGGGAAGCCAAAGTCATTCTGCTACCCAAGAGTGGCAAAGCGGTCTTTACTGGTTCTAACAGCAGACCTATCAGCTTGCTGTCAGCTCTTAGCAAACTGTTGGAAAAAAATGTTTGACCAAATGCAATGCTATTTCTCTGTAAACAAATTAACAACAGACTTTCAGCATGCTTCTTGAGAAGGGCACTCAACATGTACTGCACTGACACAAATTACTGATTGGTTGAAAGAAATTGATAATAAGAAGATTGTGGAAGCTGTACTGTTAGATTTCAGTGCAGCCTTTTATATTATTGACCATAACCTGTTGAGAACTTATGTATGGCTTTTCAACCTCTGCCATATCTCGGAGGGTTTTCTTTAATGGAAGCTTCTCTGATGTCAAACATGTAAAGTGTGGTGTACCGCAGGGCAGCACTCTAGGCCCTCTTTTCTATTTTTACCAATAACTTGCCACTGGCATTAAACAAAGCATGTGTGTCCATGTATGCTGATGATTCAACCATATACGTATCAGCTAATGAAGTCACTGAAACCCTAACAAAGAGTTGCAGTCAGTTTTGGAATGGGTGGCCAGTAATAAACTGGTCCTGAACATCTCTAAATCTAAGAGCATTGTATTTGGTACAATTCATTCTCTAAGTTCTAGACCTCAGCTGAATCTGGTAATGAATGGTGTGGCTGTTGAACAAGTTGAGGAGACTAAATTACTTAGTTTACAATCTAAGGTAACACCATCATGGTCAAAACATATAGATTCAATGGTTGTAAAGATGGGGAGAGGTCTGTCCGTAATAAAGAGATGCTCTTCTTTTTTGACACTATACTCCAAAAAGCAAGTCCTGCAGGCTCTAGTTTGATCTTATCTTGATTATTGTCCAGTCATATGATCGAGTGCTGCAAAGAAAGACATAGTTAAGCTGCAGCTGGCCCAGAACAGAGCAGCACTTTTTGCTATTCATTGTAATCAGAGGGCTAATATTAATACTATGCATGCCAGTCTCTCTTGGCAGAGAGTTGAGGAAAGACTGACTAGCAAATCAGGTCTGAAAACTAACTGAAGCTAAGCTGAATTAAAAATAAAAATGGGAAAAACTCATAGAAATAAAAACACAAAACCATATAAACCTTGATGCACTACTTTTTACCAGGGCCCATAGGGCTGGTACGATGTAGGGCAGTGTTGCCCAACTCCGGTCCTCAAGTATCCCCAACAGTACCTATTTGTTTTGGTGGCCCAGGGGCCTACAACAACAATATGTGCTGTTGGGGGTACTCGAGGGCCTGAGTTGGGCAACACTGATATAGGGCAGGGCTCTCCAACCCTGTTCCTGGAGAGCTACCCTCCTGTAGGATTTCGCTCCAACCCTAGTTGTAACTAACCGGATTCAGCTGATCAACCAGCTAATTATTAGAATCGGGTGAGCTAGATTAGGGTTGGAGTGAACCTATAGGAAGATTTCTCTCCAGGAACAGGGTTGGAGAGCCCGTTATAGGGACGCAGCCACTGTAATCTTTTATTTTACTTTTATGCCAGGCGGTTGTCCAATCCTCCTCCTGTTTAACTACTGAGTATGCAGGCTTTTGCTCCAGCACTGCTCTAACACACTTGATTCTATTAATCAGCTGCACATCAGGACCTTTCATTTGCTAAAAACCGGTGTGTTTGAGCAGGGCTTGAGCAGAAGTCTACATACCCAAAAGCTCTCCAAGAGGAGGGTTGGCCACCCGTTATGTATTTTATGTTAGGGTAAGCTAGTTAAAGTATCCAATCACACAAGGGTAGGCCACCAAAGAGAGACAATGGTGGAAACTTTGAGCAAATGTCAACATGTAAACACGGCCAGCGGCTGGGTATGTGGCATCTGAATTTTGGAAACATTCATGCTCACTTTGGACTGTCAAGGTACAGAATTGTAGTGTGGACGTAGACATGTTTTTTTCTATTTCTAATGTATTTAAGCTAAAGGAATCCAAGCGGGCTGTGAACAGTATCCGCAGCCTGGTAGAGGAAGAGGATGAAGAAGATGATGTGGAGAAGGTTAGCTGGAGTGGAGAGCCTGTTGGAAGTAAGAGAACTTTCCATCATATGATGCAAAACACATAATCATCAGTTTTTTCTCTGTACTGAAAGTGCCCTATCATGAAATCTTGACTGCTGAGTGACATACATTTTGGGGGATTGTATTAACCGTAGACTAATGAGCAAAATACTAAAAGCTTTTTGAGTGAACTATTCTTTTAAAAAGGTGCAGTCTGTGTGTTCTCTTTCCTGCAAGTTCCAAGCCAAGATGAGAAGATGAGCTGGTGCAGTCATTGGTGTAAACCGAACAATGAAAAGTGCTACAATAGAAATACGCTGAGTGTACAAAACATTATGAACACCTGCTCTTTCCATTACATAGACTGAAAGCAATGATCAATTATTTATCCACTTCAATCAGTGTAGATGAAGGGGAGGAGACACGTTAAAGAAGGATTTTTAAGACTTGAGAACATTGAGACATGGATTGTGTATGTGTGCCATTCAGAGGGGGAATGGGTAAGACAAAATATGTAAGTGCCTTTGAACGGGGTATGGTAGTAAATAATAATAAATAATATGCCATTTAGCAGACGCTTTTATCCAAAGTGACTTACAGTCATGCGTGCATACATTTTTTGTGTATGGGTGGTCCCGGTGATCGAACCCACTACCTTGGCGTTACAAGCGCCACGCTCTACCAGCTGAGCTACAGAGGACCACAGTAGGTGTAGGTGCCAGGTGTAGGTGCCAGGTGCACTGGTTTGTGTGAAGAACTGCAACACTGCTGGGTTTTTCACGCTCAACATTTTCCAGCGTCTTTCAAAAATGGTGCACCACCCAAAGGACATCCAGCCAACTTGACAACTGTGGGACGCATTGTAGTTAACATGGACCAGCATCCCTGTGGAATTCTTTCGACACCTTGTAGAGTCCATGCCCTGACGAATTTAGGTTATTCTAAGGGCAACTCAATATTAGGAAGGTGTTCTTAATGTTTTGAACTCGGTGTATTTTCCTAAATGAAGCAACAGATACTTTATGTGTGTGTTTGTAGTTTACTTTGATTCTTTGTAATTTGGTTCTTTGCCACAAGGGAAACAGTATGGACTGTGACTTTTTATGTTTTGTGATAAGTTCACTTAGGACCAGTACATTTGCTGGTAACTTGAATGGTTGTGGCCCTAAATGTTGATGTGTTCCCTCAGGTATCTCGTGGTCGGTCAAGGAGACAGCGTCCAGCATTCGCTCCACAGGAGAGGTGCGGGACCAGAGCTTCCCCAAAATCCACACTGCCCCTTCGTTGCCCAAGAATAGTTCTGGCTACTCCTTAAGCTCCTTATTCAAAGGTACATCTCAGTCCACCTCTTGATAGATATCTAAGGCCATTCTCGTTGGTGTATTTAGATTGGACTAAGTGTTGTGGGCCGATTTTGAGTTTGGGATAACCGATCTTGAGACCGTTGCATTCGACCCAATCAAAATGGGTTCGCCTCATTCTGTCAAACAAATCTGCCCTCGGTACAGTTTTGAATCTATAAAAAACACCAATGAGCTGTAGCTATACACTAACCATTGTCCCTAGTTTGTAGTTTTGCACATTCTCAATGAGAATACTAATGTCAACATAAGCATTTCCTTATCAATTAACACACTCTTTCTCTCTCTCTCTCATTTTTTAGGAAAGGCCAAAACTGGGAGCTTCCAGTCCTTCTCTGAGTGTGGGTAACAGTTTAGCAAGAGTTGTTACTCAATTTATGCCATATGTGTGTGAAAATTGCTATTTTGAAAAGCGTGGTTATCAACTTTTCTTGCATTTTATAGCTTTCGGAGATCCATCCATCCGAAATTACGCCCCGGAACTTCGGAAACCAAAATCTGAATACAAGGTAAGATATGTTTTATGTTACACATAAACATCGTATTTCAGAGCACTCTGAAAAGTTCTTCCACAAACTGAACTAACTGTTATTAACATCACTAATACTGTATTTACTGGACTGTCATTGGTCTATTAATGATGATGTCATCTTGTTGTGGCAGGACTACGTCAGTGACTGGACCCCTGAGGAGACTGTGAAGAGGATGCAGCAGGGAAAGGTAGGATCAATGGTGTAAAACCAACATTTATTTGTCTTCAAACTGACTGTAAGTTGTAAGCTGACTGTTGTTATGCCTACTGTAAGTCACTTTGGATAAAAGTGTCTGCTAAATGACATACAATTTATTAGATTATGATCAGCTGTTTTATAATGCTCCAGCAAATACTCTGCTTTATGTATTTTGCAATTCTCTGGACTGTGATATAATATTAATATTGTATTATTCTAACTCGGTCCATGATCATATTTTCTCATAGGTCTACTCTTTGGAGAAGTTCCGCTCCTTACAGGACAAACTGCTGCTATTGGACGAGGCTGTGAATGCACATGATGGAAACATCATCACTGCGGTACGATTTAATTTGACTCTAGTTGAAAGAAAACAATAAACAATAATTGTTATTACACGGAACTAAAATATAAACGCAACATGCAACAATTTCAAAGATTTTACTGAGTTAGAGTTCATATAAGGAAATCAGTCAATTGAAATAAATTCATTAGGCCCTAATCTATGGATTTCACCTGACTGGGAATACAGATATGCATCTGTTGGTCACAGATACCTTTTTTAAAAAGGTAGTGGCGTGGATCAGAAAACCAGTCAGTATCTGGTGCGACCACCATTTGCCTCATGCAGCGCGACACATCTCCTTCGCATAGAGTTGATCAGGCTGTTGATTGTGGCCTGTGGAATGTTGTCCCACTCCTCTTCAATGGCTGTGTGAAGTTGCTGGTTATTGTCGGGAACTGGAACACGCTGTCATACACGTCGATCCAGAGCATCCCAAACATGCTCAATGGGTGACATGTCTGGTGAGTATGCAGGCCATGGAATAAATGGGATGTTTTCAGCTTCCAGGAATTGTGTACAGATCATTGCCACATGGGGCTGTGCATTATCATACTGAAACATTAGGTGATGGCGGCGGATGAATGGCACGACAGTGGGCGTCAGGATCTTGTCACGATATCTCTGTGCATTCGAATTGCCATTGATAAAATGCAATTGTGTTTGTTGTCCGTAGCTTATGGCTACCCATACCATAACCCCACCGCCACCATGGGGCACTCTGTTCACAACGTTGACATAAGCAATCCGCTCGCCCACACGACACCATCTTCCCGGTACAGTTGAAACCGGGATTCATCTGTGAAGAGCACACTTCTCCAGCGTGCTAGTGACCATCGACGGTGAGCATCTGCCCACTGCCGTCAGGTCAAGACCCTGGTGACGATGACGAGCATGCAGATGAGCTTCCCTGAGACTGTTTCTGACAGTTGTGAGGCCGGTTGGACGTACTGCCAAATTCTCTAAAACGATGTTGGAGGCGGCTTATGGTAGAGGAATGAACATTAAATTATCTGGCAACATCTCTGGTGGACATTCCTGCAGTCAGCATGCCAATTGCACGCTCCCTCAACTTGAGACATCTGTGGCATTGTGTTGTGTGACAAAACTGCACATTTTAGAGTGGCCTTTTATTGTACCCAGCACAAGGTGCACCTGTGTAATTATCATGTTGTTTAATCAGCTTCTTGATATGCCACACCTGTCAGGTGGATTGATTATCTTGGCAAAGGAGAAATGCTCACTAACAGGGATGTAAACAAATTGGTGCATAACATTTGAGAAAAACTAGCTTTTTGTGGGCATTTAACATTTCTGGGATATTTTATTTCAGCTCATGAAACATGGGACCAACACTTTACATGTTGTGTTTATATTTTTGTTCAGTATACTTATCCTGTTCTGTAACCTCTCATTGCAGGTTTTAATATATTTAAAGAAGTCATTAAGTAAAGGTAAGGTTTTTAATCCATGTTTTTGTTATCCATTAGATGTGACTTTTTTTTACGTCATTCTATTCTGGTTGAGTTACCAGGAATTTACACCAGTGCAAATTTTGCACCTGCTATTTTCTGAAGGGAATAATTGTATTTCCTTTAGAAATAAAATGAGTTTATTTCACACGTACAGTAAGATTACCTTCTTCTTTTTTCATTTAGTTCTACCTTTTTATTTATTATTCCCAGGTGTTGAAAATGTATGCATGCACTAATGTAAGTCACTTTGGACAAAAGCATCTGCTAAATGGCATATATTATTCCTTTTGAAAAATAACAGTTGCAAACTTTGGATGGTGCAAAAGTTAAGTGCAATATTCTGCAAATAATGACAGTTCACTGTGTTTCTGTGCAGAGATTCTCTTCCGGGAGTTGATAACAAGAGAAACAGCTCTTAGGCATTATATCCACTACCTGAAGGAAATAGGAGAACAGAAGCTTTTGGTGGAGCTGTTCAAGTGAGTAACGATTCACAAAAATATCCTTTAAACCATGAGATTGTATCAATGGAGTTGTCATGTAACCTTGTTGGACTGGTTTTTACCGCTCCTGTTCAAGGAGTGTAGCATCTGGGTTGTTTATTAGGCACCAAATGAAAGAAAACAGACTGAAACAGGGAGGGACTGTCAGGATTTGTCCATTTTAAGAAATGCTCAATTTCCTTTTCCTTTGCAAAAGGTTTTAAATATTTTCCATTGCATACCCAAATGATGGTACTGTGCGGTCAACTTGCTGCTTGTATGCAGACATTCTGATCAGTCCTCTTTTCTCTCGTGTCATCAAGGTCCCTGGACAGAACAGAAGACATGGCGGTATGTACTACCCATGAACTGCCAAGCCATCTGGGGGGGACAGTTACTTCAAAAGTCAAATTCAGTTACATTTCAGTCCCATCCCCAAAGTTTACAAACAAGTGCAGGGGCAGCACTTAACCTAACGTAGCAGGTGTAAAATAAATGCATGAGCAGGGTCTCCACATCCGGTTTTCAGGGGAAAAGGAAGCTAGGTTGAAGATGCTGTATCCCTGAAAACTGTCTGTTTCCAGTTTCTTGTGACACCGCTGAGGGTGGAGTTGAAATGAACATTACAGATTGTACCTTTAATGCTTTGCACTCATTGGTTGTTGTTAGTTTTAAATCTCAATGCACCTTCCTCTGTTACCATGTCCATATTCAGCTCATGCAGTACAGAGATCACCTCAATATCAGAGACGAGAACAGGAGGAGGGACTTTCTGAAGAACTGCCTCAGGTAAAGATCCACTCCACATTACCTCACGTCTCAGGGTTGTGTTCATTAGGCACAAAACGGAATACATCGTACAGAAACAGGAAGGCACTACCTGAACGTGTCCAGAAAGTAGTGCTGATTTTCGTTTTCTTTTGCAAAATGTTTTCCGTTGCGTATCCTAATGAACAGAACCTAGGTAAAGAATCCAAAGTTTAATCTCATGAACAGCAGCTTTTTCTTTTCCCATTTTCTGCCACATTTTATATTGTTGATTGTGGTGTTTTTAAATCATACAAGGTCGTACAAACCTTTTCCTGAAGTAAGGTCATTTAACACATTTGAATGTTATCTACCTGGAGTCAGAGATACTAAACAGCAGTATTAGCTTTGGAGAACAGCGTTACTAACTAGAACCATGGACTTTGTTGCAGTCTCCCCTTCGCACCAGACGATGCCACTCACGTTCAAGACCACTACACACTCCTGGAAAGGCAGATTATCATTGAGGTGAGAAACCGCTGCTATTTTGAAACATACTCGACTGAAGAACACCAATGGCTGAATCTCGCTCATGGTACGGTAGTACAGTAATAACATTTTTATTTTGCGCTTTAAAAAATTCTCAATAAATCTGTTACGAAGCATGTCGCACTAACGTGGTCGCCATAAGGTTTCAATGTGTAATTCGCTATGTTGTCATAAGCTCGATCATTGCATGATATGTCAAATCCTAAGTAATGTTTGACATGTTTATGTAGGTTTTCAAACCAAACATTCCATGTCTTCCCCCTGTCTGTTTCTTCAGGCGAACGACAAACAGGTGGAGAGTAGCGGCCAGGCGGACATCTTTAAGAAATACCCGCGGAAAGCCTCCATCCTCAACATGCCCATCATCACTACTCTCTACTACTCCTGCTTCTACCATTATGGGGAGTCTGATGTGAGTTCTGGAACTGAAGTGGCCCTCAAACCTGGTCCTGGAGAACCACAGGGTGTGCAGGCTTTTGTTCCAGTACTAGCACTCCAGATTTGGCATGATGATAAATTGATCAGGTGAATGTGGTGTTAGTGCTGGACTGGAGCCAGAGCCGGCACACCCTGTAACTCTCAGGGTTGATGACCACTGTGCTACGGAGACAGTTTTTTTCTGACTGTCATTCTCTATTATGACCACAAGATGGAGACAGAGATTGTGTCAGTTATCAGGCTGTAGTAGAGAACCTAGTGTTAATCAGTGTTGATGTAAGAATGCATTAATCTGTGCATTAATCTATCACCTTTTATATTATAAATGTTGCCATTATACCCAAACATTTAATAATTTGTCTTGTTGTTAGTTGAAATAACATTATGGTTGGAGTTGATTAAGGTGTGTTTGTGCGTGTGTGTGCCTGGGTCTGTCTGCAAAACATCAACTAACTAGCCCACTCTCTCCCCCAGGGCACGTACAGCAGTCCAGCCAACATACGGAAGACCTTCAGGGTAAGAGAGAGAGAAGCTCGGACTACACAAGTATTTATCTGTCCATTTCTTTTTTAAATTAACTGGGCCCTGTCTTTATTACTGGGTAAATGTGTCATTCTTGAGTCACTGTTGTCAATCTTTCCTTTCAACAATATTCTGGCTCCATATGCAATGAGACCATATGTATATTTGTCGTTATTCAAGCTAATCCATATGTCAAACAATTTTAAGACCTTCATTGAGCTGAAGTTGTCAGTCAAAGAAATCTCTTTGCCTTCAACCCTATTTCCCAACAGAGTTAAGGAAAAATGTGTGTTTCCAGGTTAAACAAAATTCAATGATTGTAATAACTCCTAAGTTTTGTGTTGTCATCATCCAGATTTCAGATAAACAGTTTCTCCTCACATGTCTGGGTGCGAGGGCGAAGCTGAAAGCCTGGTTCGATGTGGATGCTCTGTTCACCACCAAGAACTGGCTGGGCTACACCAAGAAGAGGTCTCCCATTGGCTTCCATAGAATAGTGGACATCCTTCAGAAAAACAATGCACCAGTACAGGTAGGTAGGACAACTACAGCTGCACTTCCCCAGTCTGGACACCAGGTGGTACAGTGTTTTTAGAATCACTTGAAATATGCACTGGACTCTATTCCCATTGTTTTCAGTTTTCTGCAGATGTATTGGGTGTGGCACATTACATGCGATGCAGTTGAATTGGACAATTCAAAATTCCATAAGCATAATAGCTCAAATTAACGCAGAGAATATATTTTTATTAGAGTTTTATTTCATAGCTAGATGCTCTGTGTTTTCTTTTTTAGGGATTACTCTGACTGTTATGCCACATCATGCAGATGTGTTGCTACATTGCTTTTAGTCCCTCATCCCTGTCTTTCGGTCCCTCTTCTCCTTTCTACTCTCAGGTGTTGCAGGATTATATAAACCTGGTTGAAGACGCGGAGCAGAAGATCAGTTTGGCGCAGAAGTATAAGTGTCACGACGTCATCATCAATGTGAGACATCTGACAGACACACATGTTACAGCTCGATGTAGAAGTCACCCCTGGGCCTCCCGAGTGGCGCAGCGGTCTAAGGCACTGCATCGCAGCGCTAGAGGCGTCACTACAGACCCGGGTTCGATCCCGGGCTGTATCGTGAGCGGGAGTCCCATAGGGTGGCGCACAATTGGCCCAGTGTCGTCCGGGTTAGAGGAGGGTTTGGCCGGGGGGGCTTTAGCGACTCCTTTTGGCGGGCCGGGTGCCTGCAGGCTGACCTCTGTCGTCAGTTGAACGGTGTTTCCTCCGACACATTGGTGCGGCTGGCTTCCGGGTTAAGCGGGCAGGTGTTAAGAAGCACGGTTTGGCGGGTCATGTTTCAGAGGACGCATGACTCGACCTTCACCTTTTCGAGCCCGTTGGGGAGTTGCAGCAATGAGATAAGATCGAAATTGGGGAGAAAAAAGGGGGTAAAATACAAAAAAATAATAGTCACTTCCAACCACAGATCTAGGATCAGATTACGCAATCCCAAATCCTAACTTTAACCATTAGAGGTAACTTCTACCAACTTCCATGTTTTAAAGCACTATAATGAGTATTGATCATCTATTTATTTTTTATTTAAACCTTTTTTTAACCAGGCAAGTCAAATTGTCTCTAGCACTACTGTTACAGTATTTTGCCGTAACTTACATTGGTAACAGTACTGCAGTTTAATACTATGCCTACAATGCCTAGTGCACAAGAACTCAAACAATTGTGGCAAATTATATCATTGACAGTACAGATAACATTTAATCTCTTTTACTGGAATCACATGCTATTTATCGTTATGTGGCATGATGATTGATTGGCGGTTCTTTTGCCCAATCAGACGTACAGGGACCTGAAGGACCGGCAGCAGTTGATTGTGTACCGGGGGAAGGTGGAGAGAGGCTCGCCCGAGTACAGGAAGATCGAGGAAATCCTCAGCAACTCGGTAAGATAGGCTCTGGGGTGAAGTTTCCCCTAGGTATAGATCTAGGATCAGCTTCCCCTCCTCCAATCTTAACCTTAACCAGTAGTGTGGGAAATGTAAAACTGACCCAAGATCAGTGTCTATGGACAAATCAAATCAAATTTTATTGGTCACATGCGCCGAATACAACAGGTGCAGACATTGCAGTGAAATGCTTACTTACAGCCCTTAACCAACAGTGCATTTATTTTAAACAAAAAAAGTAAGAATAAAACAACAACAAAAAAAGTGTTGAGAAAAAAAGAGCAGAAGTAAAATAAAGTGACAGTAGGGAGGCTATATATACAGTAAAATAAAGTGACTTCACCCTACACTGTAAGATAGTGGTCATCACCACAAGTCGGCTTCAGTCACATGATCTGAGAGCTTTTCTGTTACGCCAGCGGTCACTAACCCTGGCCCTGGAGAGCTAAAGTGTGTGCAGGCATTTATAGGCATTATTACGATACAAATACAACACCTTTTGGCCCTAAGGAGACAGCAAATCAACAATTAAAGTTGCTTTTATTGTAAAGAGGGAGGACATTGAGAAAAATGATGCCTTTCTCTCAACACAAACAATACAATACTCCTTTGCAGCAAATGGTTTCTTGATAACAAGATTGTACAGTAGATAGCCTAACTATGTGCAACAGACGGCAATTCCCAATTGAACTGGGTCATGTTCATTGTGGCACAAAACAGAGACTTTTTTTTAAAACCATTTGGTGCCTAACAAACAGGAACCTGGCTGAAAGTGTCACATTTCCTCTAGCAAGATGTGAAGTTTGCTTGTGTAAGGAAGTGGTGAGGATCAGAAAAGGTGCAAATTTAGTCTCTCATCTGTTCCTCTTGTAATGATAAATATGACAATCATAAGAGGATAGCTCAGAAGACATTGTGATGATGTGTCCACTTCAACTGAAGTGTATGGCCATTGTATGGTCAGTTTTAAGGTCAAGGCTAAAATTGACAGCCCTATTTCCTTATGGGGCATGCACTGTGATGTTAAGAGAATCTGTTTGCGCAGTATGGTTGTGTTTTTATGGACTGGACAGTAGTTCCTCTTCAACCTTGGTTCCTTTCTCTGTTGAAACTCATCCCCAGACAATGTATTTAACCTTCAAAAACAACACCACTTCTCTTTTGTACAGCTCAACAGAACTGCACTTGTGCATTGTAAAATCTGAATTAGTCATGTTGAAAGGCCATTTTCACAAACCCATATTCTCCAGCCTATTCTAAACTGCATTATAGTCAAGACTAATGATAATTTGGTCTTGGGACATGATCACTTGAATTGTGGGCTGGGTGGTCTATCCCAGGGTTTCCCAAACTTTAGACAGGCAGCCCAATTCTGATATTCTTTCCACTAATTGGTATTTTGACCAAACACATCAGATCTTTTCACATCAGATCTTTTTCAGAGATGTTCTGATTGGTCAAAAGACCAATTAGTGAAAAGAATATCAGAATCAGCCTGTCTAAACGCAGCCATAGTCCCTTGTGGCATGGGTTCAAACCCTGCTTGCACCTTTATATCGGTGTTCCTCTACCTATCTGTCTCCCTCTCTCATTCATTAATTTCTATCTCAATAAAGAGAAAATACCAATACAATACACTCCCCTATGTATGTGTTACGTAGTAATAAAGTAAATTAACTTTCTTCAAAGTGTTTTCATTTCTAAACGGTAAAACCGATATGTATGAAAATACCCTCAAATAAAAGGTGACATTCTGTTCTGTCGCCTCATATCAAATCCAAAATGCTGGAGTATAGAGCCAAATTAAAGGTTTAAGCTTCACTGTCCAAATAAATACGTAGGGGAGTGTATATTGTGACGGATCAGCTTGTCCGAAACCCCCTAACACAGGCGGGAGGCATGAAATGAACAGACTGGAGGCAGTGGTTGGGGTTCCTTTTCCTTTAAATTGTCAATAAACAGGTTTTCTTTCACTCAACAAAATGATTACAGTACAGGGTAGCGTCCAACGCTGAAACAATAGCCGGAGAAAAAAAAAGGAATAAAAAATAAACTAAGCAGTTGACAACAAAAGGCTTCCCCCGCCTTTAGACTATCGTCTACACATAATATTTACAGGGGGAACGCTTCTCTCTACCTATAGCCTGCCTTGTTTAACAGAGAGCCAAAGTGCATCAGATGAAGAAGCCCACTCTGAGGAAGGAAAGCACGACGTCCTCACAGGTCCCTGTGTCCGCTCCCAGCCCCAAGCTCATCTCCTGGCACACCTATATAGAGGGAGACACCACGCAATTAGTGGGCCCAGCTGTGTACTAATTGGCTTTACACTGAGTACCTATCTTCTAAGGAGGGTGCTGTCGTGTCGTCTTCCTCCGGCCGGTCACTGAACTCTCTCACAATATATATTTTTTAATAAGTTTGAGTCCCAGAGTGACTTCCGGCGATGCAATGGCAGACTAGTTAGTCACTCAGATGCACTCTGTGTGAACTTTTTACATTTGTCAAATTATCCTATTCCACTGTGTTAACCCACTTCGAAAAGTGAACAAAACACTTGGTCTGAGCATGGCGAGCAAGCTTCGAAACAAAATAAGTTAGTCACAGGATCTAGTCCACGCTCTTTAGATCTGCCTCTGGATTTATTCAATCAGAATCTGTGAAACAGTTAGCTAGTTGTTTTATATCAAATCATAATTCAACATGGTTAAAGTCCGAGTTTTATAATCACTAACAGGACTTTGGCTCTTTTCTTGCAGCAAATCCGATGGAAAAACTGACATCTACTTCTGGAAGACTATTTCAACACACTGATTCAAATGGACATTTAAAACTATTTGTTTCAGATGAGACATGATGTGTGGGACAAATTATTTTAAAGTAAAGGCACCTGGAGTGAAGATGCAGTTGACGGTTTGCAAGACAAAGTTCACCTTCCATACTTTGTTAGCTCTGGTCCAGGGCATTAGTTTGCATGCCTCCACTAACCGTTAGTGGAGGAACACACACTAATGCCCTGGACCAGAGCTAACTTTAAGTGTGACAGCAGAGGAGAGAGCAGGTGGCCATACGAATGAATGAGCCAAAACCTTCAATTGTCATGATTTTTTTGCAGTCTGGTGTAATGCTTGCTTGACATGTGTATCCATCTGGCCAAGTGTTTTTCTCCAACCCTGTTAGCTGTGCTCTTTACCCAAGCCGAAGAAAAAGGTGCAACAGCGGTAGAAAAGTCTGAACAACAGTATATAGAAATGTATTCCTCTGACCTCTGTCGGCCATGTCTGTCCTAGCATCAACATTCCTGATCTAATTTATGTTTTTATAAACATGAAAATAAAACTTTAATAAGAATGGCTTAAACGCATTGTTGCCTTGCAACTGTGGTGGTACCTACATTTAGAGCTCATGTACCTCTTTGGCGTACCATTTTTTAAATCTAGATTTGTTTTTATGTCTTCAAAATCAGATAGATAGGTTACCAAATTAATTACGAAATGGTGGGTTGCAGTCAGTTCATGTTGGTTGCGACTGAAGTTTGAGTTAAAGGGAAGATTCACCCATTTTCAACATCAAATTCATCATCTCCAGCATGACCACAATGTCAACATATGTGAAAATGACAGGTTTCTAATATTGTAGTCAAAAAGATAAAAAAAGATAAGGGACAGTTCGAAATGTACTTGAGTGGGAGGGTCTAAAATAGGGGAGGGTTGTCTAACTTATTACAGTTATTCAGGAAAGCTTAACTCACTCTGCCATTCCTCACGCCCCTACCTAACGCTTCACTATAGCCTAAATATTTGTCTATTAACTTTTAAAATGTATAACGTTTTATGTGTGGCATAAAACAACTAGTCACAATGTTTTAATCTGATTAGGCAACTTCAAAAGTCTCCTGTAGGCTATCTGCGCACGTTCATCCAAAATATAATTCCGGCATTCCAAACTGTGCAGCGGCCATTTGATGAATGGAAAGAAAGACATCTGTTGCAAAACACCAAAAAGTGGTGGTCAGCGAACCCTCAACCTTATGGCCTGTAGCCCTGATTGGCATCAACTGTGCCACAAAAGCATTCTCAATATCCACGTTTATAAACACAGGGTCGCTACAGTTATTGTTATTTGTGGTTGTATTTGGGGTGCAAATTTTTTTACAGTACAAGGGGAGAGTCAAGTGAAAATATTTTTTACGTTGGGGAAAGCAAGCATTTTTTTTATGACACCACGAGTTGGAGACAATGGGCGTGCTCCTCTGCCCAGGTGTTGCTGACGCATGCCAGATCGTACAGTTCCTGGATCTTACAATACCCCATAATGTCAAAGTGGAATTACGTTTTTCAAAATGTTTACTAATTAATAAAAAATTAAAAGCTGAAAGGTCTTGAGTCAATAAGTATTCAACCCCTATGTTATGACAAGCCTAAAAATGTGCTTAACAAGTCACATAATAAGTTGCCATGGACTCATTCTGTGTGCAATAATAGTGTTTTTAAGAATATTTTTTAATGACTACCTCATCTCTGTACACCACACATACAATTATCTGTAAGGTCCCTCAGTCGAGCAGTGAATTTCAACCACAAAGACCAGGGAGGTTTTCCAATGCCTCGCAAAGAAGGGCACCTTTTGGTAGAAGGGTAAAAAAAAAAAATATTTAAGCAGACATTGAATATCCCTTAGAGCATGGTGAAGTTATTAATTACACTTTCGATGGTGTATCAATACACCCAGTCACTACAAAGATAAAGGCGTCCTTCCTAACTCAGTTGCCGGAGAGGAAGGAAACCGCTCAGGGATTTCACCATGAGGCCAATGGTGACTTTAAAACAGTTACAGAGTTTAATGGCTGTGATAGGAGAAAACTGAGGTTGGATCAACAACCTAATTGACAGAGTGAAAAGAAGGAAGCCTGTACAAACATGCATCCTGTTTGCAACAAGGCACAAAAGTAATACTGCAAAGTAATTAACTTTTTGTCCTGACTACAAAGTGTTATGTTCGGGGCAAATCCAATACAACAGGTTACTGAGTACCACTCTCCATATTTTCAAGCATAGTGGTGGCTGCATCATGTTATGGGTATGGTTGTAATCATTAAGGACTGGTGAGTTTTTCAGGATGAAAAAAAAACTGAATGGTACTAAGCACAAGCTAAATCCTAGAGGAAAACCTGGTTCAGTTTGTGATAGATTAATTATTAATGACTAATTATTACACCCTGAAACTGTGTATAATGTGTTAGAAATGTGTGAGTGTAGGACCAGTAAAGGCTATGGCATTGAGCCACTATTTAGCAATGTGAGTAAGAGTTAGGCCAGACAACAAAGACAACTGAGAAACTAAGATAAAGAGGCCTCCCAATTTAGGGAGGGGAGAAACTGTTATGAAAACATGGTGCAGAATATTGTGAGAACGGCAATAACTGAGTAAAGCAGGGAGTAGGATATGTGTGTATGTGTGTATGCATGTGTGTATATGTGTGTGTGTGAACTGAAGGTCAGTAGAGCAGTTTTAGAGTGGAAAACTACAGCCCGCCTACAGAGGGAAGGGATTTCTTTTTGTATGAGTATAAAAGATGGACTCTGAAATTGTGATGGCAGAATTCTCAATGAATAAATATCTCTGACTATGCAGACCGGGACTCTGGCCGTTACTTAAATCCCAAAAGACTTACAACCTTTTGGGAGACGCACAGAGACACTAAAATAGTTTGTTAAATAATTCACGTAACAGTTTGCTTTCCACCAGACACTGGGAGATGAATTCACCTTTCAGCAGGACAATAACCTATAACCCATGGCCAGATCTACACTGGATTTGCCTACCAAGAAGAAAGTGAATGTTCCTGAGTGACCAAGTTACAGTTTTGACTTACATCTGCTTGAAAATCTATGGCAAGACTTAAATGGTTGTTTAGCAATGATCAACAACCAATTTTGACAGAGCTTGAAGAATTTTGAAAAGAATAATGGGCAAATATTGTACAATCCAGGTGTCCAAAGCTCTAAGAGGCTTACCAAGAAAGACTCAAAGCTGTAATCTCTGCCAAAGGTGATTCTAATATGTATTGACTCAGGGGTGTTAATACTTATGTAAATGAGATGTATCTATATTTCAAACATTTATAAAAACATGTTTTAACTTTGTCATTATGAGGTGTTGTGTGTAGATGGGTGAGAAAAAAATTAATGTAATCCATTTTGAATTCAGGCCGTAGCACAACAAAATGTGGAATACGTTTAGGGGTATGAATACTTTCTGAAGGAACTGTATGTTATTGCAATCTGGTGCCCGACCGCACAGTCGATGACATGGCATTGGCCGAGTTTGGGACACTGGTGTAGGTCACCAGAAAATTCTGAAGTAACAACAGGTTTGAAACCACTGATGTACAGCCCTGTTTAGAACCCTTAGCCTCACCGCTTACCCCCTAGGCAAGTGTGTTCAACTGAAAGAATGTGATAGGTATAGGTAGGCAATTGTGACTGTGCTGGCTTACTCATTGCATTTCCTTCCGTTTTACACAGAAGACACACAGTAGATGAATCATCAACAGTTTATTTTTTAAAGTAGTTTTATAAAGGAAAAAACGACCTTATGTGGTCATGTGTGTCTTTTTCAAGAAGTCATTGCAATATATTTTTTAAGCAGAGGTGGTAGAGTTCACTAGAGCAATACTTCAATGATTTGTCACTTCTGATGTTCCTATATTCAAACCACGTCACATTTCAGAGTGCGTGGACCTTCCCATGCGCACGTACTACTATCGTGGCGGATGTTTAAACAGCATGCCTATGAATGTAGCATGTATAACGAAGGTGGAAGAAGCATGCTCTCTTTAAGGCAGCAATGAATGAAGGCTGTTTACGGATTTCGAGAGATGATACAGCAAAACGGTGAGTTTCTCTGACAAATGTTGAAACGTGTGATTGAGATAATTAGCACTTTTTAGAAATTATTGATTTAGTGATTGAAAGTGTAGTTTGGTCTTTTGGTGATCGACTGAGAAAAACTCTAGAAATGTTGATTATTCTTTTTTAGTCTTCAAGGGTCATGCGGGGGAAATGTAGGTTCATTTATAGGCTATACAGGTCACCTCAGTCACTGGTAGTTATCTGTTATTGTAGCCTACATTTGGGTAAGGAAATTAAAGAAAATAGTGAGTTTATTGTTGGCTATTAGTTATTAGTATAATATAATTTAAAAAACGGATTAATCATTCCAGACGGCTATTCATTATTAAGTGTTCAATAAGCAAAGCATAGCTGTTCAGCTTGCCACCTTGTTCGACTCAGTGGGTGGTTAAATGTTGTATACATTTTTTTATTGTAAACAAAGGCAGGTAGCTTAGTGGGTAAGAGCGTTGTGCCAGTAACCGAAAGGTCGCTGGTTCTAATCCCCGAGCCGACTAGGTGAAAAATCTGTCGATGTGCCCTTGAGCAAGGCACTTAACCCTAATTGCTCCTGTAAATCGCTCTGAATAAGAGCGTCTGCTAAATGACTAAAATGTAAATGTAAAAATATTATCAATATTTAATGAATAGATTCGTTTATTTTAAATTATGTGGCAATGCCTTAAATTGTATTCTGTTCCAAAGTCAAAGTGAAATCTGAAATGGTAAAATATTTGTAATCAGTCAGGTTGTTGTAGGAACCTTGCAGTGCATGTTGTTTATGTCAATTAATGTGACTAAATCTGTCGCACGAGCGCTCACGCACGCTCTGCCCGTTATATCTCAACCTTATTTTCAGAATATTGTGTGTGCCATCAAGTAGGCTACGCTAGCCTAGACATAACATTAGATAATGTAGCACTACACGACCCACCTGGGTCTCCCATACAAACTGTCAAGTGAGTTGAAAGAGGCGCCTCCTCAAAAATGCCCGGAGCACCGAGATTAACTGGGGTGAAATGAACGTGCGCCACCGTCACTAATGGCAGGCGACACATTGAGAAAAGGTTTCATTTGCTCCGAAAGTCAT